TTTTCGCGTAAAGCTTCGCCTGGTTGCAAATGTCACAGAACGGATTCTTCGGGAAGTGACTCAATTGATGTTGTTGACTTGAAGCCTCAATGCGAACACGCTCAATGTGCGAGGGGGCTTCCTTGGGTGCTTCGGCCACTGACGGCGGGGGCGCTGGAGCAACACTTGATGATGCCGGAGCATCTACAGGGTCAGGCACACTTGCTGGAGGTTCCACACGCATGCTGTCTGCTGCGGATTCGGAGGCAACATGTGCAGCCATTCCTTGAGCGAATTGGACCGTTGACCTGAAGATCGGCACATTTTCCTCAACCCTGTGCGCATAAAGTTTGTTTTCTTCACTGCACACAACCTTGATTTCTGAGGCATTCTTGGCAAAGTAGGGCAGCTGACCGGGCAACCAAACAAATGCTTTGCCGTCACTTTCAACATCAAGACCGACAGATCTCACGATTGGGCAATCCTCAAGCATGTAACAATTGGCAACACCCCAACCATTCATGTGCAAATTGAGAGTATCGTTCCCATACTTGGTGCCCCCCCTGTTGCGAAGGCAATGGGGTCTGACGAGGCACCAATGCATGAGTTGTACATGGATGACGGAATGCCTTGCGAACCCAAGGCAATACTGGAGGCCAATCGCCTCCCAGCGCACGTATCGGCTCCCCACTCAACGGTGACAGCATTGGCGGCCTGAGACACTCCCGCCATGGCGGATGCAATCATGGCCACAGCGAATGCTGGCATCGCTTTGGGCTTTGGCTTTGCTGCTGCAGGCTTAGCACTAGGCTTGGTGCCAGTCTTGACATGAGCATATTCACACTTCTCCCCATGATGACATCCACTGTCCATCTGAAAGAACATGCAAGGCTTTTGAGCCTTTTGCTCTTTAGTCAAGGGCGTGCCTTTCTTTCCTTTGCCCTTTCCCTTCTTCTTTGACGGGCTGTCATCCCCGCCCTTCCCACCTGGAGGCGCATAAGCAGCCAAGCCAGAGGGCAAGGACGGAGGCGATCCTGCGCCTTTTGGAGTGGGCGGTGATGGTGATGGGGTCTTTGGAGCCGGAACCCCAGAGGCTTTTACACCAGGGGACATCTTACGAAAGTGATCTTGAACATCCTTAGCATTTAGATCTTCACGTTCATAACTAAGGGTGTCCTGGAGTTTACTCCACAGGAAGTCAAAACCACGCATCGTGCTGTCCTTTGGGGAATCCTTGATATTCTCAATGTGGCGTTCGAGCTTCCTGAAGTTCCTGACCTTGCTGAACAATCATTCCCCAAGAAGGCGATCTGATGGGAGCTCATCACTGGGAACAGCTGACATTGTCTGTGTGACTTTGCTGGCAAAGTCTTGCACCTGAGCAACCCCAAGACCCGCAGGTTCCAAGGAAAGCAAGGCAGATGCAGTCAACATTGAACCTCGCGCTCTATCCAAGTCAAAATGCTTAGCAATTGTAGCAAGGATGAATCTACCACGGGGTGCCTTCCCATCACGTGTGCATCTCTCGATGTAGCCATTCACTTTGACAGCAATGCTAGGCACTACTCTCAAGGACCTTGTGGAAGTCAATTCGGAAGCAAGCCACCTATCAAAGCGAGGGAACCCATCACTAGTTTCATCAAGGTGGTTTAGATCTCCGGAGAAAGACACGTTGATCCATTTTGTGATGGCATCGGTACCACTGGTGTCACACTTGGCACAGGACAGGATAAGTGCATTCTTCCATGACCGGAAGGCCGCAGCGTTATCTGGGATCGGCTCAATCTTCAAATGCTGAAGAGCCGTTGAATCAATGACATCCCGCTCCACAATTGAAGGAATTGAACTTCCAAGCGCATGCGTGGGAGGATCTACCGATCTCTTTTGGATATTACTAATTTGGGTTGGAACCGCGCTATTTTGGCCACTGTTTTCAATTGCATTGATTCGGTCTGACAGCTTTGAGATGGCTTCCAGAATTTGGCCAACATGAGAACCGTCCGCAAAAGGTTCGTGGGCATCCCCGACCGTTTCAACAGGCGTTTGGGCATCTACCGGAGGAGTTGCGATCGAGAACACTTCAGCCGAGTTGCCCCCCTGAGCATCCGCGGCGCGTGTAGCAGCCAAACGGAGCCGGGAGATCTCGGCCTCACGGGCTTGGATGTGTCTCGATGCTTCTCTCTGCATTTGTTCCAGCCGTTGCCCTAGCTGTTGATTGTCGCGTTGCAGACCTTCAACCACGGAAGAAAGTTGCAACACTTGGTCCCTCAAACCTCCTATGGTGGATAGGGCCTCAACATAGATCTGATGAGCCCTTAGTTCTGCATCATCGGCTCTTTGCGATTGCTGGTTAGCACTTTCGACAGCTTGGCGTGCATGTTGAAGCATGTCAGCTACCGCTAGTGGGTCTACACCAACGTTCACTTGCGCATTCACAGTCTGGAAGAGATTCTGCTGAGATTCATCCCTAGTCAAATGCAGCTGTTGCACGTGGGTTGAAGGTTGACTAGCAGCGTCACGATCAGGAGTTGCAACAGAGGGATCCACGACATCCGTGTGACCAGAACCAATTTCAACAATCCCAGCTTCCCGATTTCCGTACGGGCTCCCTGATGAGATTGAACGGCTCCTACTGGATGACCTAATCGCCCCTGGCATGGCTGGCACTGACCTTGAGCTACTTGACAACTCCATGCTGGTCTCTTCACTCATTATGGAATACCTGATTTAGCTTACTCACTTAGGGAGGCTAACACAGAGTGGCAGATGGAAATGATGATGATCGTGCACCTAGATGACAGAGGCGGCAGCACACTTTTGCAATGCAAATTCACCGTAGATCACTGGAAGTAAGCAAGGCAATGTTCAGCCGCTTCTGCAAGATTGGTCACGTACCTGACACTCGGTGCAGTCGGTTTCCTGGGCAGCCTGATCCCAATTGCGGCACCGCGCTCAAACTCAGAGAACTCTTGAAGGGCGTCACTCCCGTCGTCTATCAAGATCAGCAATCCCGCCCTTGGAGCAAATGCGAGCGACCTCCAACTTTCCACCAGATCCAGATCTCTCCGGAGTGTAGATCAAAAAGTTGAAAGGCGTCCTTCGCTCCAAATGCTCGGCAGCGGCGCGTGCTGGTCCGTAGTTGCTGTTCCCCTGAATTGTACCAGAGCGGCGATCCCTTGGAATATATGAGAGCTGAGCCAAGAAACAATTCTCCGGTAGCCCTGCGGCAATGGTGTTCAGAGCACCAAGAGTCTGATCACAAAAGGATCCGTCCGGCCTGTTGCAATATCGCTCCCGTGCTGACACTCTGAAACAATCGCTCACTTGATGATAATCCACAAAAACAATCGCCCGTGCGTCCTTTGCAATTGTAGCTGCTCGAGACGGAGGAAGAGGACCAGGACCCCTGCAGAAGTGAATCAGAGCCTTGCTCAAAATCCGTTCACGCTCAGCCTCCGAGATTGACGGAGGACGCGCAACTGCTAAAGTCTGTCCAATATTCCCGGTAGGCGCTGTTGTATGTGGCCTGAGACCGCTGATGGCTTGAGATGCCTTGGGCCTTGATCCCACCTCAGAAGTGGATGGCGAACTCCTAGAGCCCTGAAACCAAATCTGAGATGTCCTGAATGAGGAGCTCGATGGTTCAGCCCCCCTCGCTGCAGCCTCCCGTTCCAAAAGCTTCCTGCTCTTCGAAGGTCGCGAAATGCGAGATGGAGGCGCAACCACCGGCGCTTCACCCTCAGACTCTGATGATACCCAAAGCTCCGGTGTGCCAACAGGCTCTGAAGGAGGAGGATCTTCAGGCGGAGGCAAAGGCAACCGCCACGGAAAGGTGTCTGCTGATTGAACCGAAAAGTGAGCTCCCGAGCTTGCAGAATTGTCAAACGTCGGCAGGCCCCGCCGAGACGATGACGAAACAAGAAGCTCACCTCCTGTTCCCAAGTCAACAGCAAACTCCTCCGAATCCGCCAAACCTCCTGCAGCTGGGGATGCCTCCTCCTCGATCACAATCTCTTCAAACTCCTCTTGTTCCTCACCCCAGGAAGAGCTCGTGCCCAGCGGCCTGTTCGACCCGTCCGCGTGGACCACCAGAACCTCTTCCCTCGGAGTTCCTTGCGCAACCTGATGAGAGACAAAAGCGTCGCGACGTCTCCTCGCCCCTTTCCCCGACCTGATGCCTCGGGTGCGGGCGGGTCTCTCCTCGTCAGCCGTTGGAACTGCTAATAAGGTGCGCGATCAGGTAGTCCGAGCCTTACGGCTGATAACCAGTTGAAATGCCCAAAACACAAGCGATTCAAGTGAATCGAGCAAATGGCGCCAGCGAGTGCAATCACGCTTTTCACTCAGCCTTGAGCCAAATGTATTGGCAATGGAATTCTCATGCACTACACCCGAAGAGGAAGTTAAAAGGAACATAACCCCTGAAAAGTGGGTTTGTTCAACTACAACAGCCTCTCGCAGGAGATAAACATCTCATGAGTGGTTCAGCACGTATCGCCTTTAGTCGCGGGGCGTACCTATCCAAGTTGGGGGTGAGATATGGCCCAAACCATGTGGGCGTGAATTGTCACGGCGCATGATGATTTGCTTACCTGCCCCAAGGCTGCAGAAACAAACTGCCTGACTGAAGAACATTGTAACACACACACAGGCCATAATCTTTTACACACATGTATTGAACAAGGCAACCCAGGAGCAAACAAACAGCAAACGGACCCATCGGACAAAAAAGGGTTGGGGGAAGGCTTACGGGCAAAGTGGCTTCTTCTTCACATCAGCTGGATCTGCAGATTTCTGACCGTCCTAATCCGACCATGGATAACTGATACTCACCAACCTACAAAACCCACCGTTCGTCATACGAGGCACCAACATGGGCCTGCGTCGAAATACGGGGACCCCCCAAAAAAGGTGTTTTTCACATTAGTTGAACCCATGCTGAATAGGGAAACCCCCCCACAAAAAAACAACAACAACCACAACATGACATGCTCAGATCGCTGTTTCAAAATCCGAGGGGCAAGGCCTGGTCCCAACGGCAGCACTGCTCCAACGCACTCAGGGCACTGTTGAAGCTCACGATGTTAGCATTGCACCTGCTCTGGCAAACCAACTTCAGCGGTTGCCCCCGAACCAAAACTATGTTGGACTTTTGTCCATCCTTTACTCAGCCCTGGTATAAAGTGTCTACTTATGTTGTGTATGGCTGCTGTTGCCACAATCATTCAACGTGTTTTAAAAGAGTGGAGGCTTGCACATCGGAGATGTGCAATGGACCAATACGATAAATATACTTTTACAAAGTCACATCTTCCTAAGGTTGAGTGTATCGTTTCAAGTTGAGGCACATCATTCTGCACGCCTCTAAAGTCTCATTTGCCATTGTGGTCCTAATAACGTTCTTCTGGTCGTGATGTGTGCAAGTTGGGACGTTACCAATGGTGCGTTTCTGCTAAAGGCTCAAACCTTTCAAGAGCCCCCAGAAGCACCACCATGATGTTTCCCCGAGGTGCTTGGGCCGAGGGCGAGTAGATCATAGCAGCAACACTAAGCACTCCCTGCAAAAGCGTGAGATTGTCTCTAGCTGAACTGACACAAACAACCAGCAGCTAAAATTGTACATGTAAGCACGATGCAAACAGCTGGATTCACATTATATTTCACCAACTTCCTCAGCCATCCCCGAAGGGGTCCCTGTTTGTGGCATGGGGATCTTGCTTGGGATGCGCCACAGTCTCACTGCGATCCCAGCTGGAACCTGGTGGGTATGCCTGCGCATGGTATTGGGTTACGCCCAGGCGAAGGGCTAATCCATGGATGCAATCCAGGGAATATCAGGGGTCCCTATCAGTCAGGGCTTTTTTCTACATCTCTCGGCTTTTCCTCTAAACACAAGTGTGAAGCGATCTGGTGCAAAATAAGAGGTATGGAAACATATCCATCCCCTAGTTGATTTTTGGCAAATCAACATGTGTATGTACATATATATATATATATATATTGAGCGGTGCTTTATTACTTTCTCAAAATCAAATGACGCTATTGGTATGATACCCTTAGAACCCTGCTGCGATGTCCGCGTCCTTCCAGCAACCAACTACCATCCCTCCCTCGCCTAAGGGCAGGCATACGCCACAGGAGATGAAGCGCCTCTCTCCAGCGCCGGCCCTTCTCCTTGGGTTTTGCGTCCATCACACCCCCCTTGACGTGGACCCCCCAACAACCCCCTCCCAAACACACCCCTTGGGAAAGTGATGCTCCGCGCATGATTGTCAGCTGCAAGCAAAGGAACTGCTCCAGGATTCCCAGATAAATGCCAGTAGCTCCTTCAAGCTCCATCTGTCACCAGTTCACGATGTGGACATGGACAAAAAAATGAGGGTCAGGGGACAAGTCAGTAAGCCCCCCATCGCTCCCATTTCAACCATGGACTGGGAGGCAATGTTGACCGAACTTTCACCTCATACCCAAAGCTTCGAGATTCTGCACGAAACATAGGCAACAACGGCAAGCCCAAAGAGCTAGCAGGTTGATGCGCTTTGGCATCTGGGAAGTCGGCATCTGGAGCAAAGACAATAGGTTTTATTGTGGCCCATGTTTACCTTGAAGTGACAAACGAATTCAACAGAGATACGAGAGGGGCTACAAGCACTGACACTTGCCAAGCATCACAGGCGCTGATCGCCGCACTGACGCCGATGACTTGAAGCGAGCATCCATGCTCCGGCATCCTCAGCATGTGCTGACCGCCGGGAAGGCGGGTGGGTTGGCCTCACGAAAGTGCCCCATGGCTTCCCCTTGCTTGCCCTGAGCAAACCTAAACGGGTACCACCTCAGTTAAGACTGCACGACCTCACTCAGCAAACCGTCATTGTTAAATCCTGGTCTCATCTGGGCATTCGCAAAATGTTGGTTCGTACAGCCACACAGGTGCTTCTCAAAACTGCCCTTCTTCGAGTTGCTGGAGGGATGTGCCGTTGAAGCATAACATGTTTGTCGGCCATGACCAGTTCCTTCTGAACACAAAAAACGAGACCAACATTGGCACTCGTTCTGTGCATCGCGAAGGGAAGTGTTGGGGGCCCAATACATCATCTATGAAACCAGCATTCAATCAAGCAGTGGTTTAAAGCTTCTAGCAAACAAACAACCTCATAAAAAAGGGCTTCCCTTTCAAATACTGAAGCTGCGGCAAGAGCCATCGCAAGGGAGCCAGTGCTGCCTGGTGACTATTAGTAACTATGAGTGACTCTTGGAGGTCATTGTCATTGAGGGTCATGACCTTCCCAATGCTCCCGTTGCCAGTGGGCTCTGGATGAGTAATCTCTTCCCCGAATTGAAAAACACAATACCCCGGCGGACCCAATTCTAACCCAATACTATACTGGCGACTTCTCCCACCGACCTCTCCTCCATTTCGGGACCCTCGGGCCTTAGTCAGCCGGCACTACTTTGTTGAACGATCCTCTCACCCCAACCAAAACATGAAATTCTGACCTCTTTCGGGCCCGGCACACGCGGCAGTCCTTTCCCAAATCAAACGAACAGTCCATCAGGGAGCTAGCGGGCACCGTTTCCTCCGGATTTTGTGGTTTCATTTGGGGGGGGGGGGGGAAATTGGGAGGAAGGGATCACCGGCAGATTGCGTTTCCCGTTGAACATCACGCCATCCCAACGAAACGCGCTTTACAGGGACTAAAGGCAAGGTTTACAACCACCCAAAGAGCTACATATATGTGTATATATATATAATATACATATGTGCGTGTGTGCGTGTGTGCGTGTGTGCGTGTGTGCGTGTGTGCGTGTGTGCGTGTGTGCGTGTGTGCGTGTGTGCGTGTGTGCGTGTGTGCGTGTGTGCGTGTGTGCGTGTGTGTGTGCGTGTGTGCGCGTGTGCGGTGTGCGCGTGTGTGTGCGCGTGTGTGTGCGCGTGTGCGCGTGTGCGCGTGTGCGTGTGCGCGTGTGCGTGTGCGCGTGTGCGCGTGTGCGCGTGTGCGCGTGTGCGCGTGTGCGCGTGTGCGCGTGTGCGCGTGTGCGCGCGTGCGTGTGTGCGTGTGTGCGTGTGTGCGTGTGTGCGTGTGTGCGTGTGTGCGTGTGTGCGTGTGTGCGTGTGTGCGTGTGTGCGTGTGTGCGTGTGTGCGTGTGTGCGCGTGTGTGCGTGTGTGCGTGTGTGCGTGTGTGCGTGTGTGCGTGTGTGCGTGTGTGCGTGTGTGCGTGTGTGCGTGTGTGCGTGTGTGCGTGTGTGCGTGCGTGTGTGCGTGTGTGCGTGTGTGCGTGTGTGCGTGTGTGCGTGTGCGTGTGTGCGTGTGTGCGTGTGCGTGCGTGTGTGCGTGTGTGTGTGTGTGTGTGTGTGTGTGTGTGTGTGTGTGTGTGTGTGTGTGTGTGTGTGTGTGTGTGTGTGTGTGTGTGTGTGTGTGTGTGTGTGTGTGTGTGTGTGTGTGTGTGTGTGTGTCTGTGTGTGTGTGTGTGTAATAAGGGTACCTATTTTCAACCTGCTTGTTTCGGAAAAAAAAGAAGCCACAACTCCCCCGCCATCTTGCCACCTGTCAATCTTGACCAACCCCAAGTCCAAGTCTCCAAGCGAGCAGCGCCAGAGCCGCCCTCCACTGCCCGCTCTCCTGCCGGCTGCAGGAGGCCGGACTCAAAAAATAACCCCATGTATCCCTTCAGCTTCCCTCTAACTGGTGGTTCGGATTGGTGGCTTGGTGGTTTGGTGGTTTAGTGGTGTGTCCCACCTAGTAAGGGGTACCTGATACCCAACCCCTTTTTTGAGTGGCTGCTTGAGTCTTTTTGCTTTAAGAAAAACACTGCATGTTTTAAACGGCTGATTTTGTGGGGAGAGCCAATCATCAGAACGCGATTCTGTACTGGGCTGGTGCTTGCAAAGCTCGTATAAGTAGCTTCTTGTTTGCTTGTTGGTTGATGGGACAGTGGCCGCAAACCAGATCAGTTTATTCTGGTGAAGCCGCACGATATAATAAAAAAGACCACCATTGCAAGCCCTTGTTTCGCCAAATTACAGCGTACAGGCTGACAATCTACTGGTCCAACATCCGCGCCAATGAAGCCACACTCCTCACATGCGCTGATGGCCGCATTGCCCGTGACAGTGTCCGGCACCTTGCAGCGAAACCCATTGGCCGTAATGAAGCTGGATTGGTTCAATCCCCCTTGGAACAGTTCACCATCAAAAATATTCTAAACAAATGGTGCGGGTCAAAAATAGGTACCCAAAGTGGAACCCTGGTAAATGGAAACAAGGACTAAAACCTGCGGTTCCCTGGTGGTCACAGAGTATGATGATAGTCTTCCCAATGCTCAACAAGTGAGGTCTTTTTTAAAGGGGCATACAAGGACTGGTCAGCTGCGGAGAAAAATGCAGGAGCTTCAGGAGAATCGTCACGTATGTACCCCATGATCTGCTTCCCCCTTAGCTCCTTGAAGAAATGCAAACATCTGTGCTTGTTTCATTAAGAAACAAGTGTTTGCTTTCACATTGTACCGACGTGCATGTACATCCAAGAAACATGCAAAACAAAACGGGATTGTTCATGTGTTTGCTTGTTTGAGGCTCAGAGAACACTGTATTGTTTAGCATGGTTGACCCAAGCATGTGTTTGGTAAACTTGGCTACAAAACTACTCAGCCTGTGGACACACACACACACACACGAACCAAGACACAAACAAAACTCAGAGGAGATGCTTTCGTTTTGGCAAAAGGTGTGTTGTCTTTTGCTTTCTCGAGGTTTGCTTGGTTTCTTGGCTTTCGCTCAGTTTGTTGTTGTTTGGCGTGTTCCCTCAGAGCCGCAAAAACTCAAGGTTGCTTTAACTGTGGTCAGTGTCAGCCAAGGTAACCTAAAACAATGTTTTCGTCTGCTTGTGGGTGAGCACCAGAAGTACAAAACCAAAAAGCTCTAGCTTGATTGAACAAGGGATAAAGCAAAGCAAAACAAACAGACTGTGGGAAAGCCAAACAAACACACCAAACAAACCTCGACAAAGCAAGCAGCAAAATACACAACTCAGAGGAGATGCTTAGATTTTGCGTTTGCTGCTGAACAAAAGAAAACCAAACATATTCTTCTTTGGTGAGTATCAGAAGCAAAAAGCAACCAGCAAAAGGAAAAACACGGTTTTGCTTTTTGGCGGATAAAGCCACACACAAATTGAGCGAACCCCCCAAAAAAAAGAATCACTCGAGAAGACCAACACACCAAAACTATTGGCACTACCAAAGGATCTCCTCAGACTGTTTTTTTGTGTTCTCAAAGTTGTTTGTTGTTTGGGCTTCCCCTCAGTTTTTTTTTGTGCTGTATGAAGCGCATCGCCAAAACACAAACAACCAATCATGGCTTGGAACAATATTTGGAATTATATATATCTGATAGGGCAGCATCAAAATAGCGGTTCAGCTGAACTACAATTCAGCACCTGGCTTTCAATTCAAGTCTTAACTCAAGCTGCTACAAAGCTCCTTTAAAGGCTCCTTATAAGACACATTACGCTCCTTACAAGGGTTGTAAAATTTGTATTGCTCCTTATGCAGCTCTTTAATGAAAGCCTTTCAGGCTCGTTGTGCAATGCCTTATCCAGCTGCTTGCGAAGCTCCTTCAGCCCCAGGCGCTCCTTACAACGCTCTTTTGAAGCTTATAAGGCTCCTTGTATAATGCCTTGTGAACATGTTTGTAAAGCTCCTGTTCAGGCTCCTGCCAAATTTGATCCCAGCTCAAGCTTAATTTGAATTTGAAAGAACTCAATAAGATAAGATGTCAAGTACAATTCCGATTTTGAATGATAATTTAAAGGCGGTTCCTTGACATTAACTAGTAGAATATGGAAAGGGTTCCGCTCGAATTCTATCTTCATAACATTCATATGCAACATCAAATCCACAGTTCCAGGATTAGAACTCAACAGGGGATAGTTCACATATCATTGCCATGTCAATGTGTTTTGGAGTTGATTTGTGAGTAAGAGTTGAATAAATACTCAACTCGGATTGTGATAGACATGAAAAAGGAAAGAACGGATTTGAATGTCTATTCAAATTGGAACTTATCTAATTGGGCCAAATAGGACTCTCAAAAATGGAAATTTAATGCCAATTTCGGCTGAGACTATTTAAGTGGGAACTCCTCTCCAAACACGTGTTTAATCAAAGTTGACTGTAGTTTAAATGGATTTTGACAAGTCCCCACGTAAATTCTGGGCCATATTGCCACACACTATGCTACAGAGATAGATCATGGGAGGGGAGTATGTATATATATATATATATGTGTGTGTGTATGTAGGTGTATATATATATATATATATATGTGTGTGTGTATGTATGCGTATATATATACACACATACACATAAGGCCTACATACCGCAATTCCAGCTTATATTTCTGCAAAGATGGCTCAAAAACCTGCAGTGATGGGCTCAAAAAGCAGTTCCAAGGGGATGGGCTCAAAAAACAAAACACAAAGGGCTTGCAGTGATTTGAGCCCCTCAAAATAGTAGTTCCCCCAACCGCAAAATACACAAAGAGTTCAACAGAAACCCAGCTCCAGGCAAGGGATTGCGGGCACACTCACCTGCCCATGACTCTAGGTAGGATCTTGTGTCCGCCCGGGCTTTTTCCAACCCTCTAGTTCCTGCACCTTTTGCAACAGCGACCCCATGCCTTCTTGTCCAACCCCACTCGCCCAACTTGTGCCCAGTCAGACGTCCTTCGACCCCGAAGGGCCCCAAAACAGGGAAAACAAACAAGGCACCTTGTGCAAATTTGTTTGTTGGTTCGCTGTCTGATTACTTCCTATTTGCTTGTCAACATCTGGCCCGCCGTTCATAGAGCACGAACACGGGATCACGATAACATGCAAGTGAAGGTTCTTTTGGCCCAATAAAGGATCCATGTAGGTGATGTGGGCTACTCCGCCAGCCACTTGGGGATCTGCCAAATCTTGGGCGCGTGTTGGTTTTCAATTGGTTTTCTTCGAGCGCTATTCGGAAAGGCTGCTTGAACCATTCCTCTCCAGACTTTAACGCTAAACTTGGAACCCAACAAACCCCCATGAGAGGAAGCTGTTTTTTTCGGAATCCAACAAACCCGCTTTGGAACCCAAACCACCCAAACTTGCAGAGGCCCCGTTTTTATCGCACGCTCCCCGAAACGGGTCTGACAAGGCGCCAGGTCTCTTCGCATCATCTCTTCCAAGAGCCCCACAGCAGCTTGCCACGCGCGTTGGGCGCTGATGGCGGCGTTGAAGCTGACCTCCGCTCAAAGGGCCCGGGTTGGGACCCGAAGCTGCGGAAACAAAAGGCCCTAAACTTTTGCCTGGTTAGTGGAAAACAACGGGGACCCCAAAAAAGCAATTAAGTAAAAGGGGGAACTAATTATGGGGAAGAAAAGTGGGCTTGTGTTTTTTGAGGTTTCTCTTTTTGTAGCCTTGAAGTGGGGATAAGTTGAAAACAACAACAAATAATGAAACTTGGTTGACTTTGAAAGGGGAGCAATGTTGTTTTTACATTTTAGCCGTGAAGTGGTTGGATTGCAACCACTAAACCACAATAAGCGAAAATGCAAAATGTGTCTCAACAATAATCGAGGAAAGGCCCTAAAGGTGGGCTTTTTTCTTTAGGTTCCTCTTTTGTAGCCTAGTGGGGAGAAGTTGTAAACCAAACCCAGGAATGAGCCCGGTGAAAACGTTTTTGTCCGCTACCTTCGATTTCCCGTAGCCATGAACATAATGTGCATGGGTCCATATATGTACCAGTCCCTGGGCCACGTACCCCCCCGCCCCCCAGGTCCCCCCACTCCCCCGCATCATCCGCATCTTGGGGATGATGCTGGCAATGCTGGGGATGCTGTCCACTTCGGTCCCAGACTCCCCCTGTCACCCCGTGAACCAACACCCCCGCACCTCTCGCAACATCCTACCCTAAACCAAACCACCCTGCAACCCCTCCTTAACCCCAACCCGAAACCCACCGCAAACCAACCCTGAACCAACCCTGAACCAACCCTAAACCACCCCACCACCCCACCACCCCACCACCCCACCACCCCACCACCCCACCACCCCACCACCCCACCACCCCACCACCCCACCACCCCACCACCCCACCACCCCACCACCCCACCCCACCCCCACAGGGGGGGGGGGGTTGGGGGGGGAGGGGGGAGGGGGGAGGGGGGGTCCACGGCCTGGAACATATATGCCCCGACTCGAAAAAGGCGTTTGCCTATTGCAAGTCCTTCTTGCAAAAAGCGAGCACCCAAACCGGCTACAAGCAATTAAAACGATACCCCAACAAAAACCAAGACCAAGCATCAAACACCCAAAAACCCAAAAGCTGGAGCAACACCCAAACAGTCATATTGCCAAACTCTCTGTGCCCATCGAGTCGAGTCCAGGCCAAGGGCTTCTCACATGCAACCGAAGTACCGATCGAACTGGACCGAGAGTTGTGCACAAGAAACCAAAAGGCTGCCAACCGCCAAGAGGGACTTCTTGCTTTAGCTACAAAGGGGTACTCCGCAATTGATGCAGGTTGTTCAGTGGGAGGCTTTGACAAACAGGCTTTCACGCAACAACCCTGAACACCCCCACTGTTGATTGTAGAATGCATAACCTGCGGTCGTGGCAAATTGAATGCCCCCAGCACCCGCCGACGAAATCAGAAGAAAACACATAAGGACACAACGTGACACAACAAACAATTAAAAACAAGAATCCTTACATAATACACCTTAACATGGCCTTGTAAATGGTGTTGTCCCTTTATTTTGGTGGAAAAAGCAATGTTTCAAATGGTCAAACTTTCTCTTTCAAGAAGCCCTGAAAAACACAAATCGAGAGGCAAGAGAAAAAACATGTCACACGTTGGAGGAAGCAGGGTCTTGCACAGAAATCGACGGTTTATCAAAACCCAGAGGCCGTGTTCGGCAGTACGGCTCTTGCCGGCATGGTCTCAAAGAGGAGGTCCAGGGCCATCTGCCAAGCCCCGCACCTGCGCTCCAGTTCCGATCATGGAACCTGCAATATAGGGGGTGGGAATAGCTTGAACTTATCCATCCCCGGTCCTTGCGTTCTTGCGTTTCCCTGAAAACACCAGCCGAACTCAGCGCTGAAAAGGGGGGCTGCGATAGTTAAAACTTGTCCATTCCCTCTGAGCACCCAACAAAAACAATGAGTTGAAGGGGGGCCGTTAGCAGGAGCCCGGTTGTGGGGGCATGCTACGTTGCAAGGATTTACCCTCCTCACCTCGCAGTGGCTCTGCAAGGGGGGTGCCTTGGGCAGCACCAAACCCCCACTACTCAGATGAAATGATTTCAAGCAAACTGCGAAATGCTATGTAATCCAACTTCAAGGGCATATTGGTGGCCACTAACCACTATATCATGAGCAAGTATAAAGTGCCGGTATCTTTTGCGAGTTGAACCCGCCAAGTGTACAGTGGACGCTTTGTAGTTGTTCACTGAATATGCCTCCTTTGAGCTGCTGTGACACGCCGCTGGGTTGTCCTGACAGCTTAGCTCAGAAGCCAAGTTCTTCGGACTTGGCGTGCCCCTCCTTCACAGAAAAGGTGCCAAAGCGAACCACAAGCTCAATGGGGGAGATGACCAGCCAACCAAACAAACAAACAAAGAAACAAACAAACAAACAAACAAACAAACAGACAGACAGACAGGACAGACAAACAAGCAAACAATCAAGCAAGCAAGCAAAAAAGACAAACAAAGCAAACCAAACCAAATCAAACCAAACCAAACCAAACTAAGCAAGCAAGCAAGCAAGAGAGCACACACACACAAACAAGCAAACAAGCAAACTAAGTAGTTAGTTACTTAGTTACTTTAACTATCTAAATAACTAACTAACTAACCAACTAACTAACTAACTAACTAACCAAGTAACTAACCAACTAACACACACACACACGATCTGTTTGCAAGGTCATTGCATAATTTGCCCATGATTTGCCCATTGTCAATTCCTCCCCCCCCCCCCCCAAAGCAGTAGGTTCAAGGGAATAGAGCAACATAAGCATAAACCTGTTTCCGACTTCGACACCCCTTGACGCTATAAAACACGACGAAGCTCCTCTTGTTGGTAGCTTTCAGGGAAGCCAGAACAACACATGTTGTGTAGCGGTTATCTATTTTAGAGCCAGCCAGCACAAGGGCGGACCCACCCTCACCTCATAGTTCACCCCATTCACATTCTAATACTTCAATCACAAGCTTTCGTTTCTAAGTTGAACTCCTGGTCACGGCCACCACATGTCTGCTCTGTTTCTTTGTCAAAATTCAGTATGCTTACAAATTCGACCAAGTCAAGTCAGCCGCCAGTCAATGCAGGCAACCAACTAAAAACAGCAACCACGATTCCATTCCAGTATTTTCTGACACGTGGCTTCTCGCAGGCGCTGATGACGCTGCTGAAGGTGATTACGTCCGCGAAGGACTCGCATCGCTGAAACAGGGCGAGTGCCTCCTGATGGCGAACGTTCCCCGAACGGGAGGTTACTCCGCAGGTTAGCATGGAGCCCAAAGAACCACCATATGCAGATCTGCTTTTGCGGACCCTCTGTTTAAGTTCCATGTTGATTTGCAGGGGAGAAGGTTAGAGGTCGCCAATGAGCAAGCTTGGTTTGGGCCATCATTCGTGGCATGTCAACACAGGCATAGCTTCACCGACCCCCCCCCCCGCCCAAAGGTCGCAACACAACACGCTTGTCCTTTCTGGTCCCCTCGGTTTTTGTTGGGTGTATTCCACAGTGGGAGAGCCTTCAACACTGGGTCCACCAGCGCGGCATCCTCGAATGATTTCCCTCTGTAGTTGTTATTGGGGAAGCTGAACGAACAGTAATTCTGAGACTCGAAAGTCCACAGAACCAGCCGGGAGGAAGGGGCCAGTCCGTGATCCAATCCTAACCAAGACTTCACCATGAGGGAGCCGTAATTCGACCCTTAAGCTCACGTCGGCTCAAGAGAAAAAAAAACGCCCTGCCTCAAGTCGCAGACCCTTCTCACAGGCACTAATCACCGAGTTGTAGCTGATGATGTCCTGCGGCTCAAAAGGGATGCCTCATTGAACGTAGGATCCGCCCACTTGCCAAGGTTGCCCTTAAAGATCAAACCAACAAAGACCTGTCCTTGTACATGGAACGCAACACGTTTCTGTCAAAAGGTCCCTTTAAGAGGCGATTCCCAGGTTGCATGCTAAGCGATGAAAAAGGGCGGGATCCTGTGAAAAACCCTTGGGAGATATACCTCCAGCGCAAGATCCAGTCCGAGTGGGATGGGCAAGACTCGGCAACGGCATGAACATGGGCTCCAAAAAAAACATGAGCTCAGAGGGTTTCCGCAAGAAAGGACAGCAAAACGAAGACGTGACAACAAACCGAGACCAGCACGAGAGCGAGTGGTGGTCTATGCTGAAGATCTTATCTTGTATCACAGCCCTTGTTAAAACAAGGCCGCTTTTGCCAGATACGTAATCCAACGTAGAGCATCTGGTGTGATACTTCCCTGAAAAGAAATCCCTACTAAGAAGTCCGCAAACCAATAAATGGGATTCTTTTTAAAAAAGGGGCCGACACCAGATCACTTCCCATATCATAGTGCCATCCCAGCAAGATTGGGTGCCTCATACACCTATTATTGAGAACGCAGCTGGAAGCACACATTGCTCAGTACGCGCTATCCGCTTCCAAGTCCCCAGCACAACTCCGCAGAATTTACAGGAAGCACACAACTCTATTGAAGTCAGGGAAAAACAAATGCAGCCCTGGCAGAGAAAAAGAGAGAGAGAGAGAGAGACGTCCCGCTCTCTATACGAGTTATTGCAGAGCTACCACCAAGTCAAGTATATGTCACAGTAGACGACGGCGAAAGGCTAAACAGCCCTTCCTTGGATTTATGGAGGGTACCCTTTTCAGTTGTTGCATGAGATGGGTCGGTGACAGAGTGGATTCATAGGTAGCTTGTGTACAACGAGAGGCCCGGCAAGATTCGTAGGATGCGACACGCAAACGCACATGGTGGCGTGGCAAACCTTGAAAAATGAAAACAACGAGAGGCGTCAGAAGCTGTCTTAAAGCACCTCTGGGTTCTGCATGCTGCGTGTGCAAAGATTCTTGCGAGGTGGTTTACCGAGAAGACTGAGGTCTCAAATGAACAAGCTGAATCGGTGGAACATGTAAAAGTTCGTAGCACCAAGTCCAAAACGGGCAAACCGAGACTGCTGAACACTGGGCCACTGCCCAGAAAGGGGGGGGGGATGGACCAGGGAGGAATCGAGCCTAAGACCGGGGGGGGGGAGGTTTGAGCCCCTTGCCTTGCTTACGCAAGGAGAGACTTCAGCTAGCTAAAGCTAGCTTTCGTGAAAAGAAAACAAGTGGAGGCTGGGCCAGAGGCGTCCGACTGGCCCCTCCATTGAGCCCGGATTGACGGAGAACATCTGACATAGATAGTCTAGAGCGAACAAGCAACAGCAACATCGTCAGTAGGTACGACACACATGTTGAAGGGAGAAACAAAAGATCAACAATAATGATTTCCGTCGTGGCCAAAGCACATCGCATGATCGAATTCAACCCGCCATCCTCATTCTGCAGTGCAAGTGGGTCTCATTTTCGCAGTCAACGGCGTAATATACACATCTCTTATGTGTCCTATTTAATAAAGGATGTCTATTGCTAACGGTGCTCTTTGTGTACGTTCCAATCATTCAAATCAAGCAACCGATAAACTGGCCACCTTATATGATGGTTTCACAGCAATGTATTGATTGCTTCAGTTCAAGTTACCGGTGAACCGTCGCAAACACTCACCTAAAAACATCTTAGTACTAGCCAAAGTTTGCCTTTGATCGTCGCTCCCTTGCCAGAGTCTAACTTGGATCGCCCTTGCTCTGGTCTAGTCATGCATAAGGCTTCTGGCGCGGTCGCTATCCTTCATCAGTCTTGCCAGGTCTCATCAGCTGGGCAGCTGTGGCCTATGGTGTGAATATTTGTTCCTTGGGCAACGGCAGGTAGACTGACGCGAATTTCCCCACATCAAGTCGGAGCATGCCCGCTCTCAGCGCTGCCCGGGCTTCTGAAAGGTCCTGCTGGAGCCCCAAGGTCGTGATCTCCTCAAAGAGGGCGAGAGCATGCCTCAGTGTCCGACTTTTTGACACGCAAACAAGCGAACCACCAGCAAGCAACCAAACAACAAACAAGCAAGCCATACCAGTCAACCAACAAACAAGCTTACCCCAGAAGCCGAACAGGCCCGGTTGCCAGCATAGGTGTCCATTTGTCAAACTTGATCACCCTGATGGAATAAAAACCAAATCCCTGCCAGTGAAACCCATCTATTTCTAACCAAACTAGCCTTAAAAAGGCCAGCTATGGTTGCCATGGTCTCTCAGTGGCTTTCTGCTCCCCTGCTAACAGTTTCACTTTTGCTGGTTTAACACGGAAAGCAACATGAGTTGGCAAAAAGTTTTCAAGTCCTAACATCCCTTGGCAACATGCGCTCTCTGGTCGTTCTTGTTGCTTCAACCAACGCAGCCTTCGCAGTCGCCATCGACCAGGGCCCCTGGGGCCCCCTGCTGCCATCGGCCGCCCTTCTCGCAGGCGCTCAGCGCGGCGTTGCAGCAGACGAGATCCGGCGCAGGCAGCCGGGCCTCAGGCGGTATCTTTGTAGGTATGTAGGCATCTATGTATGTAACATGTGTATGTATGCATGCATGCATGCATGCATGCATGCATGCATGCATGCATGTATGTAGGCACGTAGGTATGTAGGTAGGCATGTAGGTTTGTATGTATGCATGCATGCATGTAGGCACGTAGGTATGTAGGTAGGCATGTAGGTTTGTATGTAGGCATGCATGCGTGCGTGCATGTACATATGTATGTATGTATGTATGTGGCACGTAGGTATGTAGGTAGGCATGTAGGTTTGTAGGTATACATGCATGCATGCACGCATGTAGGCACGTAGGTATGTAGGTAGGCATGTAAGTTTGTAGGTATGTAGGTACGTATGTATGTATGTATGCATGCATGTATGTATGTAGGCACGTAGGTATGTAGGTAGGCATGTAGGTTTGTATGTAGGCATGCATGCATGCTATGTATGTAACAAATGTAGGTATGCGTATATATGTAGCTATGCGTCATATTGGAAGCGGTGGAAAGCCAGGAGCCAGCAATGCCATGCTTCTGTGTTATCAAGCCTAGGCCACCTATGGGGGAAACCTAGGCAGCAGCAAACCGTTGACTACCTTTTCACACTGCTGTCAGTGATCTTGAAGTCTGTGGCAGGCGGAGAATACACATGCATAGGGTTGGAACCTGAATCCACACCCCCCTCATTTGAGATGGTACAGCAACGAAAATGTCCGGTAGGTTTTGCAACCCTCTATGACTTGACATTCATCCACGGCGCATTGAAAATGGACGATACACATCCGTTGCGCCTGCAAATTGCTACCGTCTCTCACGAGTGCTCCTTTGTGGTGCACTTTGCCTTCACCACCTCCCGCCAGATGACCAATCCCGCGAACTCCATGAGGACCACTCCCAATTGCTCCAGCTACGATCGTTCCAGCTGCGACCGCTCCAGTCCCTCCAGCTTCGGCTTCGATGAGTTGCAGAGGAACTGGATGCTGGTTGGGCTTGCCCGCGAGCTCGGTCTTCAGCGCTTTGTCTTTGGTTGCGCTGTGCCAGCCTTTTGGCGTCATTTGTCGCATTTGCACAGATCTCACGGATCTCGGCTTCGAGGTTCTCGGCTCCGCCACCTATGGGGGAAACCTAGGCAGCAGCAAGCCGTTGACTACCTTTTCACACTGCTGTCAGTGATCTTGAAGTCTGTGGCAGGATGCACATGCATAGGGTTGGAACCTGAATCCATAGCTTCATGGTTGCAGCTTGGAGTCAAACAGACAACTCCCAGTTGTCCAGTCCACCTGTCAAAAAAGGGGGCTAGACTATTTTGTTTATTGAGACACTTGGGAATGCTCTGCAGAATGGGGGGATACCCTTTCGAGGGATTGGATCGTCGAGGGGTCTTGTCCGTTTTGGGAAGCAATGAGTCTTGGGCCCATGTTTTGTTGGCTGATTCCACCGTAAAGGAGCGACAAGGGATTGGAGCGTGGAATCCACTAAGCAGCTGGAGTGTGGGAAATAAGTGAAAACATGTTCTGTGATATCGAGCCGCTACCCCAGTATGGGTCCAACTTAATGTAGCCATCATTTGGACTGGTGCAACTTTGAATTCGTGGCAAAACAAAGTCTAAACTTTGCTTGCCACCAAAACGGTCCTTCCCCAAAAAAGTTAAACTCAAGGAGATCAGGAAGTGAGGGCGGAAACTGTGGCCGAGCATCCAGGAGTCCAAGGCTTTGCTGCCATAGCCCACCTAACGAAGATGTCAGGGTGTTGGAAAACCTCTGAGTTTTGGCCGTTTGGGGACGCCCTCTGTGCAAATCACTGCTCACTTGCTTGAAATACGGGATCTCTGCGCAAGGAACCTTCCTGGGTGACCTCGTTTCCCCACGAACAAGCGAGCTCGCTACACTTCGCCCAGACTGCATTCCTACACATCGCGGGGGAGGTTGTCAAGTGTTTGCCTTTTGGGGCTTCCCCCGGAAGGCAGAGAAAGGTAGGCAACCCTCTTGCATCCTGTACTGGACGCACGCATCAGAACGCCAACCTGTGAATATCTGTCAAACTGGCCACACCGCACTAAGCGCTGCTGCGATGGAAGGGCAACGACGGGATTTGGTCTTAGTGGTTGGGTTTGTTTGAGCCTGATAAAGACAAGGTTCAAGATCCCCAAAGGAAAGAACATGATTTGCGGCCGGGCAGCTTCCCACACAAGGGTGGGCCATTGGTTTGAGCAAACGTTTTGCAGACTGAAGACTGTTGCGTTCAAAAGGCTAAACCTTCAGTTTAAGACTTGCTTGGGGTTTGTCAAAAAAAAAGGGCTCGCCCTGGCACCAGAGAGTGAGTCATAATCAAGACCCAGCAGTGAAATGCGATCAAGGCATCTACGCTAGAACGATGTAAAATCCAAACGCAATAGGGGATACGAAGCCTGTTTTTGGTTGTAACTGTCCTCTAAACTTTATCTAGGTCTCAAAATAGGGAACTACCAAAGTGAGTGGGTTCCCCTTGCTTTCCCTTGACAACAACCTCAAAAAAGAAGACCCCGAACAAACACTCAGTTGCTTGCTGCTCCCCTGCCAAAAGTTTAACTTTTAGTGTTTCAATGGAACACCCATTAGTTGGCAAAAACATAAAGTCCAAACATCCAAGCAACATGCACTCTCTGAACAAATGGGGACCGTGGCATTCCTCGTACATTCCTCGGCGGGCTGCAAGATGCGCATGCATCCATGGCGGTGGCCGAACTGAAGGAGTCCAGAGCCAACTCGGACTGGACCATGACCTCCGTTCAGGGGGATCCGTGCTGTTCTTCCATCTGCGTACGCCCCCTGGAAAAACATATGTTTCCAGTAGTGATAGATTACATATTCTTAAGCGAATACAAGTTGTTTTCCTTTGGTAAGCGGCTTATACAGGTTGCTTTTTGGTAAATTTGGCAAACAGCCAAAAAGACAAGAACCAAACAACCCACAAACAGCAACAAACGGCCTAAACAAATGGTTTTTGGTAAACAACCTACAAAGAAGAACCAAAGATCAATGGTTTCCCTGAGGTAACCTTCGGTTTCTGGGAGTTCGCCGAACCGCTACATCTGACCCAGTGGCCTGGGGATTTTTTGTTGACCTGGGGGCAAAACGCAACAGGGTGATAAACAGGGGAGCCATCTCAACATGATCTATGGCTCGATTCCTTGGGCGGATTGGGCAAAGCAATCGAGCTAATTAGTGACTTATCACCTCGGAGGGAAATGCCCCTGGACAACTGGGTTGTTGCTGAAATGGGCGTTACATGCCTTTTCGCCGGATTCTCAGCGCAGGGCAATGCTTCGCCGTGTCCCCGCAAGCGGAAAAACGTGCTGACTCAGCGAAAGCTTCGTTCAACGGCTAAACATTGTCCGCCGAAGTCAGCAACTGGTCTCAGGGTACCAGCTGAGGTTTGGCCAAACATCTGAAATCAACAAGACCCTCATGTCAAGGAGCTAATCAACCACTCATCAACTTACAAGTAGCAGGTAGGATCCACGGAAGAAGGAGAGGACCAAGAACAACTTTCCCCTATTCCTGCACTTCGCTCCGAGTGAACAATGCTTACAAATGAAACAGCGATGGATCAAACAGTTTATCAACTTGGTGCCCACTACGGGGGTCCAACTAAACCAGGCGCCAGCGCGCAGCAAAGTCGTGTTCCAAAGCGATCTGCGCATTGTCTGCCGGGGTAACCATGAGAAAAGCTGTGCATATTCCGACCAATCCACCACTAAAGTCTTGCCCCACCTTAGGGGTGGCATGGGTTTGAACAAACAATAGCCCTAATTGCAACACGCAAATCATCGATCTAATGTTGGGAATCGGGGGTGCCGAATGAAGAAACCTGGCTGTTTGCTGGTGAAGCATTGAGTCTGGAAACGGACCTAGAGTGGAAAAGGGGGCAACTACAACAACATTGAAAATCCGTGGGACCACTTGGTGCCAAATTCTACGGACCTGTTTCGGCAGGGGGGCTTCCACTGTGTCACCAAGTAGATGGGCATTTCGAGCTCATCCTCTTACTTTACCCGAGCAGCCGTCAGCAGGTGGATGGCTCTTTGCCACTCGTTTGCACCAGACAGTGCCAGAATCACCGCATTGTACCTAAGGAAAAACAGAAGCAAGAACAAAGGATGAATGTGTTCGCCTTGTAGTTAAAATACGCAAACCACATCAGCGACCCAAACAGAAAGTATATCTGCCTTCTTTGCTTGAAGGCAAAGCTGACCAACGCAAAACAATTGCACCGCCCGCCAGACAAGGGAACAAGGGCACCACAGGACTCGTCTACTTCCCACGGCTGGCGTTTTCTCTTGCCAAATGCATCTCAGGCACACCCCCAGTTTTGGCAAGGCAAGTTTCACCAACCCCGGCTGGAAAGACTGATCCAAAACAGCCCCAATTGCAAACCATACCCAACTTGGTGTCTGTATAAGCTGGGCGCACCCAAAACAAGAGGCCACATATGCTGGATCCGCAGCCACCTGTGGCTATGAATCAACTTGAAGTGGACACTGATTGCTTGCAGCCACCTTACGGCTCTTCCCAACACCGAAATGGGACGCCTGAGCGTCAGGGAAACGAATAGTCACGAGTTGCCGTTGCCCATTTCATGCGTTCCAATGCGTGCAATGGCTTGCGTTTGTGATTTGTTTCCAGCCCCTTTTCTTTCGAACTCACAGGCCCCACGGCGACCTGTCACGAAACAAGAGTTTGTCTCAGGCTCTCACTCGGGACGCCCAAAACCCGGTCGGCTTCTTGGCTTCCGTTCAAATACTGAAAAGGGCGTTCCCGAAAAGGTGACCACGCCTGCATGCTCAGGAGATTTGCCGCCCTCAAGAGAAAGGCCAAGGGGGTTTACCCCGGCAAACGTTTCCAGGGGGTGTGCTGCCCGGCCCTTTGAACAGCACCCTACCAAACAGAAACTTAGTGCAAAAGGCCCAGAGGATGACGTTTAGTCAAGCCATCCTCTCCAGGTACCCTTTCAAACCCCCCAAAGAGGAAAACATGTGTGTATGTTGCCTTTCTTTGCAGGTAACACTGGTGGTGGCTCCCCCATTTGCAGACAAAGCCACAATGATCCCGGCAAAATACCGGAACTGATTACCGGAAATAAGGGAAAATGCAAGGGATCTTCATCAGGAGCGGGCTCAGTGTATCCCCGACTCGGCAAGCTTGTCATGATTTGCCCATGTGGCAACCGATGGGACCATAGACTTCTGGAAATGTCGACGAAACGTCTGCAACCTTTGCAATACTGCCAAAACCTGAAACCAGGAATCCCAAAGCAAGATATCTACCTATAACGGCAAGCAAGATGTAACATAGCGGCCTCCCGATCCGCCCGAACTCGCCCCAAGCTGCGAGAAGTCGTTACGCTGCACCTGGGCAGCTTCCATATCCTGAGCGTGGCCATCCCTAGTCCAGCTACCTTGAGAGGAACTTTGATCCCACCCCTAAAGTGTATCAGAAGGTACGCCAGTGGGACCCAAGGTTTTGCTGATCTGAAAGCTGAACTTTGGAGGGATATGTCATACATCCTACCCAACTCTAGCAAACCAAGTGCCTAAAGGTATCATGTTGAGAGCCTCCAAACTGGAGCCACTTTGAAGGACCCAAAGAAAAGGGCTCTTGGTAACCTGGTAGGTCACCGTCGTGCCCCTTTGAGACCAGCTTGCCACACCGGCAAAAGGATTCCTAGGAACCAGGGAATACCTCCCTAACAGAAAATATGCCGCAACGAAAACATAGGTAGGAACCAAAGCAAAAGAAACACTTGAGTTGGCTTACGTTGGTTTGACAGGGACATTCACTCGATGTCAACAGAAAGGACACTGAAACCAACCTTCTGTCTGTGATGTGTGGCTCGACAGGAAGTCCACTAAACAAAAGGAACCACGGGGGCTAGACTTTTTGGCTGACTTGTGCTGCCACGAACCGAACACTCACCCAACAGGAAAGGACATGAGGAAACCTTCTCTTTGACCATTTGTTTGCTGCATGTGGCTTGAAAGGATGTCCAAACAGCAAATTGAAAACCCCCAGTAACCCAAACTTTGTTTAATGCTGGCTTCAAACTGAAAGTCACTCAGCTAAAAGGATATCTGGGAAACTCGCCCTGTCTTCCCCTACAGGGAAATCGGCCTCAGAAACCCAGACACTCTCGGGAGGGGGGGCTACGCTTTGACTGACTTATGTTGACTTGCAAGGGGAATCCACTCGACCGAAAACACTGAGTGCATGCTCTGCGAGTGATAGACCCACGCTCAAGCAAGAGGTGTCCATGTGTACAAATAGATCTATGTATAAACGTATAGATGTTAGTACAAACATCGGTGTATGCATGTATATATAACATACATGCAGATATGTGAATATAATCAACTATCATTCTCAATATACGTGTACAAATAGATCTATATTAATCAACATATAGATGTTGATACTATTATTTGTGTAGGCATGTTTATATGCTTATACATATTATGTATGTCTATGAAGCTATAGAACGAGAAACCAGCCAGGCAAAAAGCCGACACAACATGATGAATGTTGGCCCGCCAGGACTCTTCCAGGAGCCTCAGGGCTGCCTGCCACTGCTCGCATCTGGCGCAGGCGCCTATTGGACAGATGCGACCAATGGAAGCCTGGGGGCCCCGGTCCCAGGCAAAAACCACAAGTTGCGTGACCCGTTTTTTTAGGTTGTCACAAATGAGTTCCTTTCGAATGCTTCATTGTCCCTCGGTGGCGATCGCGACCTGCATACTAGACTTCAGCGTGAATGTGTTTGATGGGAACCCTAAATTTAAAACAGAAACCACAAGTGCCACAAGCTCAAGGAAACAAAACGCAGGAAACATCAAGGAAACGGATTCAAGGAAACGCAACGCAGCTTACCAACGGCCCTTTGTTCCTGTCGCGGGAGCAGGATTCCGCACGCCGGATGATACCAAAGGGCGTCAAAAGGCAAACTCCTGGCGCATGCGCAGGCGACACAACTTGGTAAGTCGGGAATTTGTGGTCAAAAGGCGGGTGTTGGTCCTTGCTCAATTTCCCTAGATTCCCTTAGCCCTACTTGCTTGAGCTCCCAATTTCTGGTGAACAGAACAGATGACCCTGCCAGAAGTTGGGGTTGTGAGCCCTGTTTGTCCTGCTGACCAATGCAGCCCCCATCTCGCCCAAGGAAAGGCTGGTATCGCCTTTCACGCGGTGGACCAAAAAACAAAAAAGATTCAATCAGGGATGGGTCCTAACACCCATACCCCACACGTCCTGCCTGCAGCAAGCAAGCGCGGCGCTGATGTTTGTTGTGACCAGGAAACGATGAGCAAAAGATTGACTGAGGATGCAAAGCCGTGTTTGTTCGTTGCAAGGCGATCAAAGGAACCAAACTGGAAAGGTCATAGCAACTAGCACACAACACCTGGAGTTGCCATCAGGCATGCTGCCAGGTACCCTTCGAGGTAGGCAACCCCCCGCCAAGGATGCGTAAATACTCACAGAGGAGCCTGTTTGAAAGAACTTCTGAACATTTTTTGGGACAACACCTCCCACTCCCATCAATCCTTCAGGTCGACTGATGCGGGGTGCGTCACTGTCTTGGCCATGTTCAAGCAGGTTGCTTGGTGAATGACATTGAATGCCAGCCTACCCGAAGAACCAAATTCTAAGCTGCGCATGTAAGACAAATGATTGAAGGGCACGTTGCTTTCCGAATGATGCATGAAGAGAGAGAGAGAGAGAGAGAGAGAGAGAGAGAGAGAGAGAAGGAGAGAGAGAGAGAGCGAGCGAGCGAGAGAGAGAGAGAGAGAGCAGGGAACCACCACCGGTTCACACAAGTTGAACCCCCTGTTTAGGCTCCCCTTGTTTGAGCTAGCTTCCTCTGTTCAACACTGTTGTGTTTGAGCATCCTGATTTAGCTTCGTCCTGTTTGAGTGCCTTTTGCCTGCTTGCTGAAACATTGCCGAAGCACGAATCTAGGACCCTGGCTTATGTTTAACCTTAAACCTGGGATCCAAATCCGCGCTGCCTTCAATTTAGCAAGCGGTCTTAAACTTGGACGCACACCCAAATAGGGTGTTCCGGAAAAGCATACACGCCAGTTGATAAAGTGCTTAAAAAATTCGGCTATGTAGCTTAGGCGTCTAGACTGTGTCTTGTCGAAACCGAAAACACCCAAGCTCGCGAGAGCTCGCGAGCCCCAAGCTCCGGCCAAGTCGCGAATGCAGCTGCTGAAGGTGATCACGTTGGGCTGCACGGAATCCTGAACCCAGTTGCGTTGCTTATTTCTCCCTGGCCCAGTTCCTCAGTGCCCTGAAAGTCACTTTTGGTTTCGTGGCTGGACCCACTAAACCCGGCCACCCCAAAAAGAGATCCAATCCTTCTACCCTGGTGAGCGGGCACATGGGTGACCATTTAGCAACGATGCGAAAGCCAAACAAATACACTGTATGGGAAGGGTCCTTTATCTTGGTTGACGTTGGAAGGGGAGCAAAAAACAAAAAGCAGTGAAGTGGGGATTTCCCACTAAACCACAATAAGCAAAAATGTAAATGTTTCCCAACGACAACCATGTTATGGGGATACAACCCCCGTTCCATGCAAAACCCTAGGGGGTTGGGATATGAACGAACCTGGAACAGTGTGCCGTGTTCGGCAACTGGAAAATGAATGACCCCCAAATCCACCAACCAAGCCCACTTGGGGTTGTAAGAAAACCCATCCCTTTCATTGACCCTCAAAACCCTTGTAAAGGCGCGGGGTTTTCATAGAACCCCAACTTAGCAAACCACCTAAACTCAACATGCAAAAAAGCTTGGGTCACTGGCTCGCCACCTCACTGTCCATTTCGCCGACCGAACCACCGGGGCAGTTTGCTTGCAACTTGGGACCTGTTTGTTTCTTTTCTTGTCCCTTTTTGATTGTTTTGTTGTTGCTTTTCTTGATCTGTTTTGAGATGGACAATGTTTGCAAACGTCCATGTCAAGCTGAAGGGTCCCCAAATTTGCCTTGAAGCAGTGTCTTTCAACCCACTGTGAAGTGAGTTGCCCATGGATACGGTGCAGGGAGACATTCATGTTGGCAAGGCGGTGTTTGTTTGTTCCGTCTGGCAGTGTGGCAACAGCAAACTGCAAGATGGACATTATTAGGGCGCCATGGGTTTAGCAACCCAAGGATTGGAAAGACTGGAGGATTGTGAAAGATTCATCCCCCAATCTGTTCACCAATTTCCCGAAGTTGGACCATTTTCCAAAAGTTGGATCCTTGAACAGAATTGGGAAGTACAGCAAAATAGCTCAGAAATCTGGAGCCATTCAGGGGATTCGATTGCGCGTCGCGCATTCAGGCCTTGACTATTGGATCAAGAGACATGGAAAACCGCACCTGATCCAAGTGCCTTCCTGGCCTTCAGCTTGGTCGGCCAGGAACAAAATCAAGGGAGAAAAAAAACAGGAAAACCACGGGAGACCTTCCCAGTTTCAGGTTCGTTAGGGAAACAAAAACGGATGAACAAAACCAAGAAACATGAAACGAAGAAAAACACCGACTGGCGATCAACAAGTCATGGGATCATGATCCACTTCTCACCTGGATTGGTGAAAACTCTCAAACTTTCTTGCCTCCCGAAATCGGCCCAAACCCAAGAAGTCACTCAGGACCAAACGGAGTATACAGGGGAGCCATACAAGTGGCCATGCACTTGCCCAACGGACCTGGACATAAAAGGTGAACCTTGTACCTTGACCAACCCTGGAACAAATAGGCTAACCTCTTGAGACCTTGACGATGGACCATGGGATAACCAGATCTGGTCAGATCCGGTCGATCCGCTTTGGAGAGTTTGTTAGCTGCCCGCTGATTGGTGGTTGAAAAGTTGTTAAGGGCTATTTCATTTCCCATTCATCCTCTACAAGAACCAGGGCTTCAAATCCCCAAATCCTGTTCTCACCAGGCTCCAAACCACCAATCAACCAATTCCATGCCTTTAGACGACCTGAGACCTGCGCTGAGAGAGGAAAAAAACAAAACGAACAACAAAAACAATAAACAAACACAGAAAAAAACACCCCCCCCCCCCAAAAAAAAAAAACGGCCGCGGGATCGCCGGGTCCATCTGCCCCAGGACTTCCAAGGCCAGGTCCCAGCGCTGGCCCTTCTCGCAGGCGCCAATGGTGCTGCTGCAGCCTCGCGAAAACCCACCGGCGAGCAAGCTGAAGCCCGTGAGAGGGGAGCCCCAGTTTCGGGCACCGGTGTGTGTGTGTGTGTGTTTTTTTGCCGGGGCTTTGAACCGTGCTTGTGTTTCTTTTTCTCGTTAAACCGTGTTTTTGTCTGAGGGGGGAGCTTCGGAGAAAAAGGCCAAACACAGGTTGGAGAAAAACAAACTGGTGTCCTTCAGGGGGAAATTGAACAACTGCCTAAATGTGAATCCCATTAGTCACTACTGCAAAAGAAAGCTCGAAGTAAGCCTGGCTGGTAAGAGTTGTGCAACAAAAGTCAACGTTTCAACCAGCGAGCCGGGCTACCTCCCACAAACGAACATGGAACCTAAAGGAGGGCCCCTGTTAGAGGCAAATGGTCGTCAAGTCTTTCAGGTTTTGGACGGTTCGGGGAGCTTTGGCCGTCGGCCAGCTTCCTGGCAGGTGGCTGAAGACATTCTCCGACACGTGGGCCTTGGAACCAAACGCGGTTGGGACTCGGGGACTCGGCACAGCGGTGCAAGTTCTCGCAGTGCGTGTAGGCTGATATTTGCAGGGGCCTGGCTTGAGGGGCAACAAAGCATGACAAATCATTCAAGCAATATATTATTTCACGGGTCTTGCGGCCCAACCGCCAGGAAGCTTTCTTCAAGCTGCTTGGAATCTTCCAGGGAGCCCCACTTCAGCCTCCCCCTAATTGGTTAAGGCGTAGTTTCCAATTTACCCTCCAAAACAACCAGGGGTTCCAATCCCCAAGCCACGATAACAAAGTTTGGTGGGTATCATGACGGTGTGAAACGAAGGTTCAGAACCCTTGTGGGCCTAGTTTAGGCCTTCTTTGCTGCGTACCGGGACCCAAGACGCTTCCCCTTAGACCTGTGCAAAACACGCACAGGGCTACAGAATGGGACTTGCAGCCTCTTCATTTCAGGTCTGACGGGGTTCGCCAGATATTCAGAATCAAACATATTTGTTTGGGGATGGGTCATCGGTCATCCCCACCCCCCTCACAATGAAGCGATCCGAGCCAGCTTTGTAAATCCGAGGGGCTTGTTCCATACGGCTCCGCAAGTGCAGCGCCAACGCCCAACTGCCAACCCGCTCGCACACGCCCAGAGCAGCCCCAAAGTGAAAGACGTTGGTCTCCACCTCGCTGTGGTCACATTCAATCCGCAAGCAAGGCATATGCAACTACAATAAGCCTGTGGCTATGAATTTGAATGGAACAGAAACCCAAACATGATTGCCAAACGTAAATCGCAATGTAAATGCATACACAATCATAATGCAAATCAGTTCCCTTGCCGTTTCCTTCAGTTGTTAACAAAGTGAGTCACTTAGAGCACATACAAATCGCCCTTGCTTGGCCGGACAAACGCTACATATCCAACCTAATGCGAACCAACAAAAGCTCCCGTAAACGGCACAAGCAGGGACCATTCATGAGACCCTTACCTTTACATATATATGTATGTATGTATGTATATGTGTGTGTGCTTGTGCCTACAACAATAAACATGCACATACATATGCATATATACGTATGTTTATTTATACATATATATGATTCTCCCCGCCCTCACGAAGCTTCAAAGAGGTAGGTTCATGCGATGGCACATACACTTGCATTTGGCTTAGTTTGTATATACATATATATATATATACACTGTATATAATAATGACACATAATAACACTCAGGACACTAGTACTGCTCATAATAGAAACAAACAATAGTAAGCATTGTAATCAGTCTAAGCATAGTAACAACACTCATAACAGTAAAAACAAACGAAACAACGCTAACACTAACCATAGTACTCAAATATATCTATATATATACATACTATAGATCTGATTGTTTGTCCTACTGGACGGAGACTTGCCCGGACTTGGCCACTCCCGGGCCTGTGCAGAGACCATGGTCTGCAGCACTTGCTCCGCCTGCTCCCCCTGCCGCAGGCTGGACCTGGGGTCCCCGCGCTGCTTTTGGAGTCAGTGAGTCAGTGGGTCAGTGAGTCAGCGAGTCAGCGAGTCAGGGAGTCAGCGAGTCAGTGAGTCAGTGAGTCAGCGAGTCAGTGAGTCAGTGAGTCAGCGAGTCAGCGAGTCAGGGAGTCAGCGAGTCAGTGAGTCAGCAGTGAGTCAGCGAGTCAGTGAGTTAGTGAGTCAGCAAGTCAGCGAGTCAGGGAGTCAGCGAGTCAGTGAGTCAGTGAGTCAGCGAGTAAGTGAGTCAGTGAGTCAGCGAGTCAGTGAGTCAGTGAGTCAGAGTGAGTCAGCGAGTCAGCAGTAGTTGTTCTAGAGGATGCCTTACTAGCCCGCTCGCAGCTTGACAAGCCAGCCAAGCCAAACAACTCCACGGTGTGGGCAAAATTGCCAAGCTCATGCCAACAAACCCCTGACCGTTCCACAGCGGGTAAACGGGGATTGGGGCGGGTCGAGTTAGGGAGCTGGACCATTTGGATCAGACTTGAGGGGAAAAAGAGGACACATCTGGAGAACTGTCAGCTTTGAGCACACCTGCGGACGGAAGTCCGCCTCTCCAGCCCTGGAAGTGTTGGACATGACGAAGGGACCGCAATTCTTGGCGTGTCACATCGCGGCCCCGTAAAAAGCTTGCCCGTGGGCAGTGAATTGGCCCCAAATGGAGTGTCTTCAAGTCAAGGCACCCCTCCCTGTTGCTGTCCAAACCAAGCCCGCCAAAAAATAAACACAACTATAAAGTATAGAACGCATGGAGGCCTCGTATTCGGGAAACTGACTGGGCCTTGACTGACATGACGAAACCGCCCGCCAGCAAACAATTTGACGTTTGACAAACTGGGAACCGCCTAAAGCAAACGCACATTTGTAGGGCCTTGCATATGTTTGAAGCCCAAAAAAAGGGAGCCGCGCATCTTTTCGGGTGTCCATACTTGCGCTGCTTAACCCCAAATCAAACCGCTCACTTGCAGTCCTCTTCTCACTTCCTGAGGTTGGCCCTGAAGCCCAACTGTGTGGTTCACCAACCGTGGTCTTCCCTCTAATTGGTGGTTATGGATTGGTGGTTTGGCGGTTCAGGACCATTTCCCATTTACCCTCTACAAGATCCAAATCCAAACCACCAATCCAAACCGTCAAGGGGCTAGCTGACAAGTGAGAATTTGCAAGTTGACACTACCCCGTTTCGCAACCACAGAGTTGTCGTTTCGCCATGGCGCAGAACCTTGGTGGCGTCTTTGGGGCTGCGTCGCCATCGCTCCAAGAAGGGAGCCAAGGTCTGATGCACCTCGGGTCTTGCGAGTTCTTTTGAGGGTACCCGAAAGCGGATTTGCTTCCCGGCAAAGCTTCCCAAACGGGAACACACCACCATTTCTGCGCCCCCACCCCCCGGTGAATAAACACGCTGACATATTCCCAACACCAAGTTGTGTGGTGCAACAGGCGGGGCGTTAATCTCCCCCCCAATTAATGAATGACCCCCATTAATAATAAATGCAAATCCGGGGCCCGAGACCAGATTTCCACTCCGCACAATTGATTTTCCATTGCGCCAATACTAAACCAATACTAAAGTCTTGGAATCCTTATTAGGGGGCACTTTTAGCAAGCTTCCAGCCCCACTTCTGGCTGTCTTGAAACCCACACTGCCTTCTCGAGCACTGGACTGTCTAGCAGTCAATCACAAGCTGTCTAGCTGCGACTGTCTCTCTCCCGTACATGCTGGCTAATTAACCTGCCTGGCTGCAAACAAACAACCAGTAAACTGGTAAACAAATATAATGATACATCAAATTTCCTTATTAAACCGCTTACTCGCGGACCTTACAATTCAATATATTTCCTCCAAATCCTATGCGAACCCTCACATTGTTGGAAAAGCAAAAAAAACCAACCCCAAAAAACCCAATTAAAAATAATAATATATTTTTGGGTGGATTTATTTATAATAGGGGGGGGGGGGGCGGGGCCGTATTTATTAATAGGGGGAAGAGATTATTTGTCAACAGGGCTGTCCAACTAAGGCCTGCCAAACGTCTCAACGCATCCTGCTTGCTCCCAAATGCCATGCAACAAGTACTAAGAATTGTCCAAAAGGTTGAAGGCAAAGGGGCAATTGCTATTTTCTGACAGGTCAAAAGGTCAAGGTCACCCGAATGAAGTCTGTCGAACCCCCTACCACTCATCATATCAAGGTCGCATTCTGGCCGCCAAACACGCACAAGGTTGTGAATGGGGGTTGCTGCAGTATCTCTTTCATGCCCCCTTTCAACAATGGCACAACTTCTAAATGCTGGTTTCATCATCCCCTTTACTTGCCCGCGAGCGAGTCGTGCCATCTACTTTCACCCGCGGAGTTTAAGAAAAATAAAGAAGGCAACAGGATGTAACAGGGTTTCTTCAAGGATCCACCACCCCACCTGTTTTGCCAGGCGATCTTCCGAAAACCGCTTGGGTGAGCTCCGAGTTGCCCAAATGCCCCTGGGCCCAACCCGCGCGGCGCGCCGTTTCCCGAGCTGTCCGAAGCCGGCCTCATCGCAGGAGGGGCGCTTGAGCCGCGCGAGGGCGGCCACTTCGGGAACCATGGCACCGGTCTGGATGCCCAGCCGCGTGACCCCAAGGATCCCAAAAGGGACACGCAAAACCCAACCAAACGGGAAAAAAAAACGGCACTGGGTCGACTGGGTGGCGCGATGCTTTCCGGGACATCCTCTTTTGTTTGGATTTAGTAAGGGAAACAATCCCCTTTTCGAGATCAGTGGCCTCTACAACTCCCACCCCATCCCGCAACATAAGCAAGTCCTGAGAAGCTTTGTTGTTTGTACAAGCGCGGCATTGTGCCCTGAAAATTCGCCCAACGCGGACCGCCTGTCAGCTTCCATTGGAAGGAAGGGTGTGCACATAGAGATTGGCACGCACGCATCGCGCCAAAACACTCGATGCACCACTGAACTTGGGCAGCGGTTTGTGCACCAAACCCGGCGCTTCCTTGAGCCGGAAGCGCGGTCTTGGCGTGATCCGCCCTGACATACTGAATTCGCACAAGGCCGAGCAACAAGCCACTATGAGTCACAAGCTTGATATGCAGCTAGTTGAGATATATAGGTTCAAGCATGCCTTGAGCGGAGTGCACTTCACTGATTCTTCTGTGCCAATTTTACCGCCTCACATCACCCTCGAAAGCCTTCAAACAACATAAACAATCAATCCGAAATGCTCACCTTTGCCAAACTCTGATGCCCAATGCCAACATCAGCTTGTCATGGAGCAGTGTGGAGCGACCAGCAACTTGGGCTTGCTCGGGAAGCCCCCAAATATAAGCGCAAAGCAAAGGCACCCCTCCCAAATGCACGGCCCAGTCGCCATCAAAACGGCGAAAAAGCGAACCCTCTTTGGAACTCATAACTGTCCACTGGGGAAAGTACCAAACAAAAAAGGAATAAAACACCGAAAAATACGGTTGCCACCAAACCCCAACCCACCGCGGCTGTGCACGGCACCCGGGGCCCGGGGCCGCGGGGGGGAAGGGGGGGAGGGTGGGGTGGGGAGGTGGCACCTGCTTGCCCTTTTCGCAGGCGCTGATGGCGCTGCTGTAGCTGATGATGTTGGGAGTCAAGGCCTGGCATGTGGATTACACAAAGCCAAAAGGCAGAAGATCCGAAAAATGGGGGGGGGGGGGTGAAGCCTAAAACCAAAAAACTTGGGGATCGCCAGGAAGCCTAGTAACTGATGGAGGTGGAGAATCCTAAATGTGGGTGGTTCAGGGCAGGATCATTTTATCAAACGGTTGAGGTTGGGGAGGGAGAAATCAACAATGGGGCGGGTTAGGACAGAAGTATCCCTCAAAACGGGTTGGTTAGCAGCAATTATCCAACAACATGGTTTGGAGTATCCTAGTTGGGGAGGAGCATCCTCACAGATTCTCGGTTTGGGGAAGCATTGAAGGACAGGTGGTTGTCTAGGGAGTTTCACCTTGGCGGCAAACAAAAAAATGTTGGTTTCTTTTCGCGCCCTCATTTACTAGCCTGAACGTGTCTCTAAATCCGGGCATGGATGGTCAAAGCAGCCTCTCCATCCCGCCTGCATGCACTGGATGTAAATAGGGACGGTGGCACACTTATTCCCTCCGTCTCATTCTATGGTATACCTTGAGTATTAGACCAGCTGCTTTGAAACAGGGCTGAGCAAACACAGATTCTACGCACAAGCGAGTAGAATATGAAGGGACCGGCCCTGGAGACACTGTCGGCCATTCACAAAATGCGCACTTCTAGGTTGGCCTACATGTAGCAAATGAACATCAATATGACAACCGACGTCTCAAAAGAGCCCACAAGCTCAGGTGTTTGAGTCAGCCTTCTTGACGTGTACCTCCGGCCGGGCGGACCGTCCCTCTGGAAAATTGCTGGGATGTAGCTGTTGTGGATCTAGCTTCTTTCAAAGCACCAGCGGGATGCTTTTTTTTCAACCGAAGACCTTCCGGCCAGAAAACCCAGCAATCCCTTCCCGTGGGTGTGCAGTACGGGTCCCTCCGAACGCCAGGGTCAGGGTCGTTGCGGCATCCGCCACGAATTTCGGTGGAACCCCTGGCAGATTCCTGCAAGGTCCGCAGAAATCCGCCCGCAACTTCCCCGAGAACCACGACAAAAACCACAGGTCACTTCGTAGGTTGGCCAGAAAATAGTCCAAACGGTTGTCGCCACTACGGTCATAGTGCCAAGTCCAGAGAGGGCATCCCAACCGTTTCCATCCGTTTCCTATCACTGCCTGTGTTTTCATCTGCTTGAAGAAGGCGAGGGCCATGGCCCAGTGCTGCCCTTTTTCACAGGCACCTGAGTGGCCATGCGTGAGTGTGTCAACCTGGACCTCTGAAATTGAAGTTGGTGGCCCAAAAGTGAAGGAGTACCGCCTGGCAAGTAACCAGAGGTTTTTTAGTCATCCTGGATCAGCATTGCAGGAAAGGATTTTGGGTGGTCTCCCAATTCAGAAAAGAGGTTGGCATACCTCCGAGCGGAATCCCAATCTTTCAGAATCCCGCTGTGCAACTGGCCCCATACCCAACAATTTCATGCGCGAACGCGCATAGCTGCGGAGAGCCAGCCTAACATATTCCTGTGAAGATTCATATGGGTGTGTCTTTTTTGAGGGTACGTGCTTCTCAAGGGAAACCAAAGGACCACCACCCTTTTGCGGGGTTCCCAACAAAAGGACACACCCATAGGGCCACAGATGTGTTCCTTCGAACAGGGGGCTCCTTCTTGAATCGCGCGATTTTCGGAAACCCCGTTGGTCTTCAGCAATGGGAGAGGGCTGACATAGGCATGGGTCCCAGACCTCCCAGACCAACCCGAATGGCACACCCAAACCTCCAAAGCATACACCAAGGCTTGAGCGCCCAAGTCCAAGTAAATACGCGGGCAAACTGAACAAAACGCGGGATCTCAGGCAAACTTTATGTAGATGTTCTGCCAAGGACATCTTGCAAGTCGACAGGCGACAGGCCCAAAGCCCTGTGGCATTGAGTGGCTTAATTGCAGTATGACAATCAACCAATCTTCTTTCTGGGTTGGCCTTGGCGTCATGTGAAGAAGCGTGTTCAAGCAAATGAATATGGAACCCATTTCAATCGTGTCCCCCAAGGAGATTCAACAATAGCCTCGTGGGTTTCCACTGGCCTCATTATTTCACCATGATCAAAGTCACCCCCTAAGTGATGGGTTTAAGGGAAACACCCCCATGTTCTGACCTTGGAAACAATGACTCCAGTAATTCCGATCCCAAAAATGGGCTCGCCCTCTCGGGCATGGCCTATGAAACCTAACGCTTACGTCTCAAGGCTCCAAGGCCAGCACTCACCACCGAGCTGTACCTGCGGTATGTGACGCTTCTTTTGGGCTCCCCCCCAACAAATGGGAGTTGAATGCTCGGTATAACAGGAAACCTATAAATAAATAAATAAATAAATATAATATATATATATAGGCATGAACTTTAATTAGGGACCCTTTGGCCCAACAAATGGGGGTTGAATGCTCGATAGACCAGAAAGATGATAAGCAAAGCAAGAAGCCATACTACTGGAATTCCGCCAGGTGTCGCTGTCTCCTTCTGGGATTGGATGCCCTTAGGGCCCCAATGAGCTGAACAAGCTCGTGAAGTTGATTGCGATAGGACATAGATTGTGTCCGATTATCAGACAGTCGCGGCTAGCAAAAGCAATACAAGGTCCAGCACCGTCATCCCCCCCCAGTTTTCATCCTCCCTAAAGCTACATTGATGCCAGCTAACCAAAGGACTCCCGTGTTTAAGTGTGCCTTGGAAAAACCAGTAATGCGGGATGGATAGTGCCATCTTCAGCGGCACACCATTTTCTCTCAGGCCCAAATCTGTTTTTGTTCACCTCCATCTTACTTTGTTTGCCTTGGGCCCACACAAGAGCTTGGTTGACGTTGAAAGGGGAGCAAAAAAATAAATGTTAGCAGCCAAGTGGTTGGATTTCAACCACTAGACCACAATAAGCAAAAATGTTTCAAATGTTTCCCAACAACAACCGAGAGAGGTTGGGGGTCAAGACTACCAGTCCCCGCATCTCCGCTGCGCACCTCGCCCCCTTTTTCCCCTCCTCACGAGCTGTCGCTCTCGTAGGCTCCAAGCAAACCCCCGCCACAGTCAGTGGGCGCGGTGGTGCTCGCATTGTCCTCAGTGCAAAGCCTCGGATTGGGCGGCCACTTGCTTTGCGATGTGACTCAAAGAGAAGAACTTGGATGCGTTGCTGTGTTTCCAACTGAAGTCCCATGCAGCATACTCCCCAAACCAGACATCTGAGCCCCCTTGCTGGTGTGGATCAGGGTTGGGCAAATGTCTTCACACAAAACAAGGCCATGAACCCCAAAGGCAACTTTCAACGGTGGCTCCGTGCTCTACCAACTGATCAGCCTTGTGACAGCAAAAAAGAAGCCAAGCAGTGCTGCATGCGTGGAGAGAGTGCCGATTTTGGCAAGCTTCCAAGGGTGGTCACGTTGGGAAAACGCTGCCTCGCAGGGGATTGTCTGTTGACACCTAAGCGTCCAGCCCCTCTTCAAGGGAAACTCTTTCTTCCCAAAAGGATCGAAAGGCAACATCTGCCCATGTAAATGGTGGTGTGTGTGTGTGTGTGTGCAAAGTTACTTCTCCTGAAAAGCCCCCCTTCTAGAGCGCTGAGCCCCTCGTCCTTGGCCCAAACCCTTCGATTGGCACCGAGCTGCTTCTTGTTGGAGCCCTCGCCTGCGCGAAGAGAAAACGACGAAACAACAAACAAACCCCAGGCCCCTCTCAAATTCATGTCTTTGGTTGGGTTGCAAGGTTATCTGCAGGAGGGTAGTTTGCAATAATAATGATTTTTTAGTAAAGGGTGGAAGAAATGCAACAAAGGCGGTGGGCGAAAGGAAGCGCCCAAGCGTTGGCGTTCCTCCAGAAAGCTTAGTGTCTTCAGAACGCCACCTATCCATAATGCCCGAAAAACGTCGCCAAAATCTCTCCTTAAACACTTCCAAGTCCATAGCGACATGAGGACCAGGACTCAACCCCTGCAACCTGCAACCCTGCAACCCCTGCAACCCCTCAACCCCTATCTGTCTCAACCCCTTCGTTCTATCTGTCTCAACCCTGCAACCCCTCAAACATGAACTACAATTAGGCCAGTTCCCAGCCGACCCCCATTACAAATATCCCATGGGAAGCTTCAAAACAGCTCCGATTTATGCGTTTGTCTCACATGTGGGTTGACAAATCCAACATTTCCTCGGGCAACTTTGTTCCAATGCCTGTGGCACATCTTCGGGGCCAATTTTGCACCACCGAAGTCAGACCCCGTGTGTAACATATTCGTTCCCACAAGAATATGGGAGGGCGGGACCGAATTTATGATAGGGGGGAAGGGAGTACGCATTGCTGCCGGCTAGGACCTGCGCGAATCCACCCTGTGTGAGCCAATTTGCCCACAATTTGAATTCCCTCTCCAAAGTGCAGGCGAAAGCTGGCGTGTGCAGATTGAACTAGACCATGCAGCCCTTTAAAGAATGTGTGTGTGTTTTTTTTAAGGATGTTAAGCTGCTCAATTGGGGAAAGGAACCGCCCAGTGATCCATCTTTGAATGTGTGGGGTCCCATCTCTTGCCCCAAGGTGTGTCATGGTGTGTCTAGGTGCAAGCTGCTCCATTCGTCGGGCCACCTGTAGGACTTCAACCCATTGAAGCAAATCAGGACACAGGGCCTGCGACTCGTAGCCATCTAGGCAAAGATTAGCACGGAGCGAAAGCCGGCGCTTACCAGTGCCAAAGCTGCCTGCCTTACTTTTTAATCCTCTCCGCAGGTATTTCGCGCCAGTCAACTGAAACGCATGCGTCCGGGCGGAATATAACGGGAGGTGGTGACCCAAGCAAAGCAGGAAGGTCGAAATAGCAAGTCTAAACAAACGGCAAAGCATGCGTCCGGGCGGTGTGTAACAGCAGCACGTGGCAAGAATCTGCTGCGCTCCAAATGTGCAACATGCACCCGTGGACTACTGACCCCCATTTTTCCAGATTCTGATGCGGAAACTGGACGTTGTGCTATCTTGTCACTGACTCGCCCCAGAGACTAACCTCAAACGAAGCCTCTTTGAGTCGCTTTACGCTTTCGCGCCTATTGACTGGTTTACCAGCAATTCTGGGATCAACTAAAGACCTTCAGCAGAAATGTCGAAGGGACGCACGTGCACCATTCTCCAAGCGTTGCTTACAATGAGAGGGATCCCTAACCCTGATATTTAATTTGCGGACACCAAGGAAATCGCAATTGCACAAGTATCTCGCGGATTGATTTTGAACAATCCAAAGAATACTTGACACGAATAGCCATCAAGAACCTAAGGATTGATTTTGAACCCAGCCAAAAGCCGCTGCGAGCAGTTGGGGCGCCTTCGTCTTCAGCTTTTCTCTTGACCTGTCGGGCGCCCGCTCGCGAGCGAGGGGGCAGTGGTCTACAGTTGTTCTGGTAGGTACTGTTTTCCTGGCTCTAGACAAATACAAATGACATCTATCCCCATTGCCGTGCTTTCCAAGTGGAAGTGGGGTGTTTAACACCCAGTCCTGTGTGTCTTCCTCCTTGGGGTCTTGGAGTCCATGCACAATTGCCTTGTACAGTATCCAAAGGGCTAAATGTTCGCCACCTTATGTGTTGGTACCAGTACCGTAAAGTTTGCCCTGAAGGAGAGTAGCAGCAATCTCTCCAAAGCCAGGGAGGAACATGCCTTATGCCAACCTGGAAAGTCGTATGGCCTTTTTTCCCCAACAGCTGAAAGCTTTGGGGTCTCAGCCCAGATAGGCTCCGGGGTGGTCCGGGGTAAGGTTCCACGAGGGTTCCACCAGGGTTCCACCAGATTTCCACGAGGTTTTGCAAGGACTGCGGGGTGGGGCGAGAGCACTAAAAAGAGCACCGCATGCTTTTGGGGATATCACCTGAGCTAATTAATCGGACGGACCCCGTATTTGGATCGATTTTCCCGTATGGCAAGTTTTTTCTGTCCGGTGGCCGTATTTGGTTGTATGCAACCCGTATTTTGTCAACAAAAAGTTGACAAAAAGCCGTAAATAACCGTTTGGCCATTTGTAGTGGCCCAAGCCGTGTGGACAGAAAGAAATGTTACATTTGGGTTTGAAGGATGATGAACAGCCGCTTTGTCTCACGGGGGTCTCGGATCATGTTACCCCCAAACATGGAGGTGAAGGAAACCCTCCTGGAGAACGACTGTCCCTTAGGGGCCTTCTTAGCACCCAGCTTGGTGCTTGGAGGGATCATCGCAGCGCGGAAATGCGGCCGCGTTTTGCTTGCTTGCGGCCGGCCGAAGTAATCAATTAATGCAAAGCACATATGCTAGTCTGTGTTCCTTTCCTGATGGTTCCGTGCTTCTCAGGTTGGCTACTTCTTAGAGAAGTCAGCCCAATTGGGCTATTGCCCCAAAGCAAATCGACCTGAACTCTTGGGCATTTCAGTCCGGATCATAGCGGGGCTTCAAGGGTCTCGGGCGCCGCGTTGTGTTGCCATTTCAATTGGGATGGGCCTACGCCCTGGGCACATTCTAGTGACGTCGCAACGCCCCCAGTCAGAAACAATTGCCCATGATTTGCCCATAGGCTCATCTCAAACCGAGGACCCCAAAATGGCGACGGTCTCTTTTTTGACCAACCAGACAGGGGTTCCGATGGTTATTTTTTGGCAAACCCCCTTTGTAGGGTTGGGGTTCTGGAATAATGCAAATAAAACGGCTGTGGCTTACACGAACTGGCTTCTTTGGAAAACACCGTTGCCCACCGCCTGGCCTTGACCGTGAATTTCGGCTGTTTCGCTTTGGCGGCGGCATTGGCTCGCTCCTGCGCACAAATTTACCCCCTGCCAATCACGTGAAATCAACAACAACCAAACATTGTCTTAGAGATACCGAAGACCATATGACCGTCTCAGTTATAACATCTATGAGGAACCTCCTTTTGGGGGATCCTCTCGCGAATTCGCAAAAGAGAAACTGGACCCCCATGCGACGTGGGCGCCCCCCATCGCTCTGGGGCAAAATCCTGCAGTTCGGAAGGTGTTTGTGGTTCACAGGGTTTCATCCAGGCTTTCATCCCAAAGTTAGTGCTGTGAAGCCCCGGCTCTGTCAAAGGATAGACACCCTGAAAACCCAAGTCGAACCGGGACCCCAACTGGGGCTGAGTCAAGGAGCTGCTTGAGGCTTCATGCTTGTTGGCCCGGGTGCTATGCACAAGACCTGTCATGGCTCGGGTCCTCTGCGAATAGCTTTGTTCCCCAAGGAGCCAACACCTGTTCCTCGTGGCAATTTGGGCCCAAAAACCCTGGCAAGCGAAGAAAAAGACTTCTGAGAAACGTCATGGAGGTTGGGCTTCGAAAACTGTGAAACTCACTTGCCCAAAGGACCTGAAAATAAAAGGACCTGGAAATCAACATGGGCCAAAAGGGGAAAACCAAAAGGTCAAAAGGTCGGCTTTGGGCAAGTGAGGAAATGTAACAAATTGAGACCCAAAGTTTCAGATAATTGAAACGTGTGCGCATGTTAGGCATATTGAAAGTCAGAAGTAAGCAGGTGCGGCAATGCCCTTTTGCTTTGGATGCTGCGCCTAAAATTGCTTGTTTGGAAAAATGAAAAAATGCGAGTCCGCAAATCAAAGGCTACACCCCATGGCTCCAAATCCTGAACTGTGCCTACATGGGGTATGCCGTGTTTTTGATGTTCTTGGAACCCTCGCGGATTGTTGCATGTTCTGAAAAAGGATTTCCTTGCAAGAAGTTAGGTGAAAGCTAGTCACATTAAAACTAACATGTCACAACGAATCTGTTGAAGTAACTAGAGAGTCTATCTCAAGCTAACATTTAAATATGTCCTTTTCAAACTAGATATGACATGGATTTTACCGAATCACGGGGAGTCTTCGTGTTTCGTATGCTTGACCGGCCCCGTAAAAACCGGGAAACAAAAAGAAATGCAAGGAAAATGCAACTGCAGCTCTCCTAGTTTCAGAACTGCAAACTATTGAATTATCGTCTTTTCAATCCATGTTTAAATGCTAGTTAAACCTTCGTGAAATCCGATTTGGAAAGAAGTGCCTGTTGCAATCCTGACTTAAGAAACAAATTACAATTACCTGTCCTTGCTGAAACCTATTCAAATCCTCATTACATTGCCATTTTTGCTGCACGGGAGTTTCTTGCTAGGTTCCAAATTTGACATAGAATTCATAATTGAACTACATGTAGACTTCTATACCTTGAGCTTGACATTTGAAGCCTTGCATCCAAATTGAACTAACATTGCACCTACTGTAAGTTTCGATTAGTGGGTGCAAAATCAACAAAAAGCTCGGGGCTGAAGCTTCAGGCTGCTTCTTGACGGGCCTTGTGTGTAGTTGGGACAAACGAAACAAACAAACTCGAGTTCTGAAAAAAAACATAGCTTCGGACAATATGTATCCATGGTGGTTGGGTTAGGGTCTGAAATGTTGTGTTGCTTTTGCAAAACTCAAGCTGTTGCATGCTTTTTGGAAAGTGCAAACTAGCCTCGAGAAAGCAAACTAATGGACAAAATAACACAACATCATTTCAGATCCTCGGTTGCCGCGTTGGCTGAGTTAAAGTCTGACTTTTTGTTTAGCAAAACAACAATCGAGTCTGTTTTCTTTGAGAGTGCAAACATCCCCGAGTTTAGTTTTTTTGGGAAAGTCTTGAAAAACCTTGAGAAAACCGGAAACCCAGACTCACACACACACAACAAGAATAAGATCTTATGTATCCAGCTTGGCTGAGTCAGGGTCTGTTTGATTTTTCTCCAACAGCTGAAAGCTTTGGGGCCTCAGCCCAGATAGGCCGGGGTGATCCGGGGCGGCCCTGAGGTAAGGTTCCACGAGGGTTCCACGATATTTCCACGAAAACTCCGCCAGGGTTCCACATGCTGTTGGCGATATCACCTGGGCTTATTTTTGTGAGAACTCGGGTTTATGTTGCGTTTTTGGACAAGTGCATAAAACCTTGGAGAGGGCCCTTTTGAAAAATGGCCAGAATTTGCTGCATGTTTGCTGCGATGTTTGATCTCCGGAGAGGATTCCCCCCCCCCCCCCTGCGTCCTGCACAGCGGAAAGGATGGCAGCACCCGGGACGACGCCTCGGCTCCCAGAAGCCAAGGGACCCCAAAAGTTTTGGCTTGGGTAGCTTGTGTTCGTGTTTTTTTTGTTTTTTTTTTTTTTTTTTAATCTATAAATCTAGGGGTAACTTCCATTTCCATTTTGAACCCAGGGATCCTTCTAGAAAACCACCAAATACCGGAGGGAAATACAAGGAATCAACCCCTAGAATAAACCTGGATTCTTGCACCCAGACCTCCAAAACGGGAGAACAAAGACCAATGGGCGAAAAACAAACAGGCGCAAAGCCGAAGTGATGGGACTGTCTGTGTCTCGAACTAGCGGGTGTGGGTCTTCGAAATCGTTTTGGTGGTTGTTTGCCCCAGGCTTCACCATTAAAACTGCCCCAAAACGATACCATTTCAAAGCATCCACCGACTGAACTTGACACAGGGCGAGGGCTTGCCTCTGGTCCCGGGATCGCAACAAGGCAGCCAAGATCAAGAAATTCACAGAGAACCCAGGACAAGAAGGCCAAAGATGAGCTGAATCTGGCAATGAAAGAGGTGGTCATTTCTGCACTCAGGCGCCAGGGCTGGTCTCTTTGTTGCTCTCCGCTTCCTCCTGCTTCTTCTGCTCTGTCTGCTCCTCGCACTTAGGTCAGCCGCAGCGCGGCAAGCGGCCCCGGAGACCCCCAGGCTTCTGGGAACCCTGCACTTGAGAAACCTCACGTGACGCCACAGAACCGCTACCCACTAGAAGCGAGGAATTAGTCATGGGGGGGGGGGGGGATTTTCCGTGTGGGCATTCATTCTTGGGTGTCTTCCTTTCCCGTTCGTCTTGAGGCTCAAGTTGGATTCGGCACAGCTTGCTTATGCTTGCTTTCTCGGCATTTATACATTGCCTTTTTGACCAGTTCCCTTGCTCGTAGATTCTGAAGAGCCCGTCCCAACGAAAACCAGCGCTGGACTGTGACAACTATAGGGTTTCTTGTATGCCACATCACCCTATTAAAGGGAAACTCAATTGAAGTTGGCAACTGCAACATGATGTTTTAACCACCCACACGGGGAAACAAAGGGAATGGGGCCGTGAACAAATTGAACAGCCTGACAAACTTATAGCCAAGGGAATTCTCGGAGGAGACTTCTTTTGAAGGGTTTTAGGTGTCCAACGTTTGCCTGCAGGGGAAGAAATCCGGAGTTTCCCATGTGGTATAAGTTTGTTCTGACCGTTTTTAGTGGTCCCCCCGCCGAACGAAAAGGGAGTTGCTAGGTGCCACATGATGCCACTCTGTAACTGGGATACCCCAATGAAATCAACTAACAACTGAAGGGTTGATCTCTGAACTGGGGGAATCTCAAATGGCTTTCCAACACTGGTGTGTTTTCCACTCCATTCAATCCATCCATCAATTCTGAGAAAACTCCTGGCTCCCCAAAACTGCTATGCGTTTTCTTCAAGTGATGTCCCTTTCAATCCATCCATAACGCTACTGGCGCGAGTCTTAGTCTGCATTCGAGGTGTTCCCTTCGGTCCTTCTCCGCCTTGAAGCCTTTCAGCTCCTCCAGCTCCGCCTGCGACATTTCATCCTCTTCTTGGCTCTTCTGCGTGTCCTCGGAAGGCAAGACGTCTGGCGCCGCCGGTGTGGGGCACCCCTGAGTTTTTGAAAAGGAAGCAAGCAAGAAACCGGAGCCACTGAGGGCTTCCCTAGTTTTGGGACCTTTGGACTTTTGGTAGGCCAAAAACTGTGGTTCCCTCAAAATGCACGCCTTTACCAAATCTCCTTGGTTGGCTTTACAGAAGCCAAAAGGAAACTACATATGTTCGGGATGTTGTACTTTTATTGGATCGATGCGCCGGTAAAACAAAAGCAGGACGCAAACGGCACATCACATTTTGCAGGTTCAACGGACTACCCCCTGCGTTGCCCAAAGAATCTACGAGGCTAGCCGGAGCCACCACAGGCAGCCACGTTGATGTGCATGTGGCCAAACCGTGCTGTTTTTGTTCGGTGCATGTTGCAAGCAGCATGAAACAAACGTGCACAAGAACCGCTGCATGGAACAAATGCATCAAGCAGCATGCCAACAAGACGGGGACCTCTCGAATCCAATCAAATTTGGGGTGTGGAGTTGGCAGGTGGTGCAGCAAGAAAGAACCAGGCATGTTCCGCAAGTTTTTGCACTAATCATGACATGCCTCTTGGGTCACTAGTTGAGTGAGTCATGCGCAACCATTTGTGGGGTGGGGTGGGGTGGGAGAAATGTTCTGAATAGAGAATCGTCAACCACTGCTGCTTGAAATCACACGTAGTCTCCCAGCTGCCAGTGACCGTGGTAGAGAGAAACAATGGAACCCTCTTCGGGGATCGAAATCATCTGTAGTGGGGAACCCACCAAAAAGAAAGCGGATTTTTTGTTTTATGGGATTTATTGGGTGCCACTGAATGATTTCCCTTTCATGGAAATCCAGGGCTGGGATGAAGCGTACGCATTAAGGGTGACAGCCAAAGCAGGAACAATTTTTGAAATACTCTACCCTCTGTCCAACCACCAGGAAAGTGGACAAACCTTGCTGTTCGCTTCCATGATTGCTTCTTCCAGGAAAGCAACATCGAGCCTGACTTAAGTGACTTGCCAGTCCTGCAGGAAGAGGTAGTCCAGCGCTCCCTGAATGCTCTGGTCTCGATTGCCCAGCCTCTTGTTCAGGGTACGGATGGCGTCCAAATCCTGCACGCAAACTAACATCCGTACGGTGAAAGGACTACCTTCTGGGTTCGCTCAGTGTGTCTGCACACATCACTTTGCTGGCCTTGGCCGTTGCGTGAACTTAGGGACCCCTCCATGATGGGTCTCCAGTTGGTTTCTGATTGAACCCATGGCAAAGTGTTGATGCATCCTGTATAGTAGGACCACTTTCTCCATGCATACATGCCTACCAACCTTCTCACATACCAGTTGCCAGCAAACGTGTTCAATGGTGCTAGGTATTGAAAGTCCTTAGGGGGCGCAGCGCTGCCATAGATTCCAAACACGAGCAAGCCAAGTACACAGCTTAGCACCCTCTGCGTGCCCAGCGGAAGGTTGCGAGTCACACATCGCCCCCGCCGGTCTAAACACAACTTGCAGGTACCCAAACAAGCAAACTCCAAAACCAGTCTCCATTGGCCTCTATGCCTCAGTTCGGCGCAACTGTTCAAGCGTCCTAGGAAAACATCCATACAGAATCTATGCTTCTATATTTCTCTACTGGATCTTTCTGCTACAGCACAACCACATCAGCACCGAACATGGACTGGAAAGGCAAACAACTGAAGCAACTCATACCAGCGCCCGTCGGGACGCAGGGGGGTCCGGCTGCAGTTGTCCAAAGTCAAATGCCAAAAGCTACATCTGCAACATGAGCAGGTTGTGGGCAACGTGACTAATGCGTGTGTTGCATGTCACTGCGGCTTGTCGGCTGGACAAAGCCCGGCAATTTCAACACAGGGAATGCGTCAAACCGTTGGTCGGTCTCCTAACTACGGGCCCCCTACTTTTGACACATACCCACCCATGTAATGGTTTGGGACGTGTTCAAGCCCATTCAACATGTGACAGTACGGGCCAAAATTGACAGACTACTGCCCTCTTCGGAAGAAGAAACCACCCTAGCTGGAAAAAAAACAGTCCCCCTTCCACAGAGTGTTTCTTTTGTACACGCAAGGGAATGAGTTGGCAATGGTCATTCAATGCGGAGTAGTCACTTACAAGTGATACCCGATACCCTCCTTCAGTACATTATTTGTATAGGGGGTAGGGATGATACACCTATCCAGGTGTGTCACAAATGGCTCCCCTTACATGAGACACGGACAAATCCATGTCAGGCAAAACCCCTTGCTCTACCCCACCCAATGTTGGACACCTCGTCCCTTTCTGACCCCGTTCCATGTTGGGGAGGTGTCCCCTGAGGTCGGCAATCGAAACTCATTCCCACTCACAAATGCCCCGAATGGGGCCGGAAAAAAAAAGAGGCTCCTCGATGCGCTGCATCTCGGACTGTACATCCACAGCCTTTTGCTCCAGTGCCTTCATGTGGTCCTGAAAAGAGGCCAATTGGAAGGTGCTATCTCCAATATCTGAGGCTAAGCAACCAGATCCACCGCCGAAGCTCCATGATTGCAATTGGTTTAAAAAAGCAAATGGCCGGATTTGGGAAACAAATAGGAACAGCTATGAGTGGGGAGTCGTTTGACAATTTATTCCTTCCGTTCCCTTGCGGTGTCCGATGGCATGAACAGTTGGTTAGACTGGGCCTGTAAAGAATCGGAAGGTCTGGAAAAAACAAAGCATCCCAAAAAAGGCAGTGCGAGCACAGGTTCTTTGCCTTTCGTTATGTCTGAGGGAAAAGAAAAGCACGCTCCGAAATGGCCACACTCGTTTAAGAAGACCTAAACAAATACATGAGCCTGAGCGGATTCGAGGGCCTTGCTTGTCAGCTCCGGTCTCACAACGAGCATCCTCCTTCCAATCATTGAACATCAAGGTCTTCTTCAAAAGGAAAGTCGTCCAAGAAAGTGTTGGGGTCAGATTCCATGATTGGGGCGCAACCTCAACTAGGTCCTCCAGTAGAGAGGTTAGAATAAGGATAACCTTTTTTCTGTAGTCTATTTTAGCAGGCCAAAAATGGGTAAAAGGGTACCACTACTGAGGGATCTAGTCAAAAGACACGCGCATCAAACAAACATCACTCCTGGGCCGCTTCCTTCTCTTTCTCCTGCTTCAGCTGCGACTCCATGGCATCTGCGTCCTTCCAGGCCTCGTAGGTGCCTTAGCCCGGGTGACACTGACCTGCCCGCTTTCCAAGATGTTCCAGAAAATCCCCTGTTAAACCAGCATGAAAGGATAATCCTCTGGGACCTTGACCAAATTGGACCATTGGTCCAAAAGCTCAAAAGGATTATTTGCTTTGGCCTGTCGGTGCGCAACAGAAAAATCTCGACACCCAAAGCAAACCACCCGTAGGGAACTTGGGAGGCTTTTCTTGCGGCGCGCAACTGCGCAGTGATAATTCGATTTTTATCAAAGGAAGCAACAAGTCATCCTGTGGGCAGTGCTTCTCCTCTGAACCAATACAGCAATTCCGGTTGGTCATGGGAAAATATCCAAGTCAAAAAGCGGCGAGAATCCAGCATTTGTTTTTCAGGCGGAGAAAAGCCGAAACCAACCGTGGAAGTCATCCCCCCATCCACTAACATGCTCATCTTACACATTCCAGATAAGATCGGAACGCAACACGACCGACTTGTACATACCACCACGCACTGCAAGAAATGCGTGGAACATAGAAGCTACATTTGCTTCTGTGACTGCAGCTGGGGCACGCTTCCCCCCTGACTCCATGGTGTAGTCAGAGTTCTTTGGGTCTGTCTTGAAGGTGAATTCTGACCAGCAGTGCCTGCATCTGCCGTAGAAGCGGTACACCTACAGGGCTTCAGGGCCTCTCTCTCTCTCTCTCTCTCTCTCTCTCTCTCTCTCTCTCTCTCTCTCTCGCTCTCTCGCCTATCTTGCTCAGTGTGTGTGCCTTGACCCTAAAAGCGCAGAAAGCACTTCTCATCTTGCCATGGCAAACCCCTTTGTTTCATTTCTTTCATGTCGGGTTCCCTTTCCAAAGAGGCCCATTTGGGAAGGGGACACCGCACGAGGACACCTATGTTGATGTCGCTCAGGGAAATGGTTGGACTCCCTTTGGCTTCTCTTCAACAAAACCTTGCAGACTTTGAGCGTGATGTTCCAAAATCCGGGGTACCCCAAAATCCCGGGTACCCCAAAATCCCGGGTACCCCCAAATCTGGGGTACTCCAAAATTCGGGGCACTCCAAAATCCAGGGCACTCCAAAAAAGGTACCCCAAAAAAACAAGGCCACCCACCTCGAGTTGAAGCCTGTTTCGAGCCCGTGCCTTGAGGCCCAGGAAACTCTCGCCCTTGATCTGCTCCACCTTCGCGGTGAACTTGGTACCTCTTCGGAAACTTTGGCAGATCCAACGTTTGGGTCTGGCGGTTTTGTTGAGTTGGCGTCCTTTTGGCTGTGTTTGGCTTCCTTTTGAAAGGTTTCCTGGCGGTTTCCTCTTGGACAAAAACGCTGCTATGCAGCACCCAGCTATCCATCCCTTGAGAAAACGGGGTCTTTCCCACGGCTAGTCTTGGTTTTATTGTTGGCGCACACCTCTCAGAAAGAAAAAAACACCGTTTCTGCGGACGATTCTTTTCTGCGATGCCAAGCTCTTGCAAAATCCCACGGCACCTATGAACTTTGGGGGGCAACCTCCCTAGGCTCCCTACATCCCTGTTTCAAACATCACTGTTTGGGCATGGCACTGTTAAATGAGTTTCCTTTTCTGCGGACATTGGGGAAAACGTCGGGAGGTTTGGGCTCCATGGTTTTCCCAAACGGGGCCCTCTGGAGTGTCAGTTGCTCCAAGAAAGAAAAAACAACATGTAAGGACGAATTCTGCAGCCCACTTCAGGCCAAACAAATGCTATAGCGTTATAGCGTGATGTTGCTTGTTGCTGTTGAAAATATTAGCATTCCACCCCTGTTTGAGGAGGGGTGGGAGGAGATCGAGTCCAGCAATTGTCTTCCGACAAAAAGGGGGAGGGGGGTGGTCAAATAGTAAAACCCTTGTTCAAACACCTGTTTCAACAGCGTTTGTCCACTGTTTGAGCGGCCTCTCATCCGGGCTTCCATTTGAAGCGCTCTAACCAGATACAGGTAAAAACCCTCACTTAGAAAAAAGGGAGGCAGAGGCGGGTTGAGGCTCACATAGCCTTCAAGCTCTCAATGCTCACTTCCCAACAAAAGCCAAAGACACCAGTCAATCTCCGGAGGAACATGAGGGTAACCTGCTTTTTGGCAGTTGGTCTTTACAGGAAACTCTCGTCAACAGAAAGGAAACATGATGAAAAAGGCCACAACCGGGTGTCTGAGACCAAAGATCAAAAGGCGCGAACATCGGAGAGAAGCATCGGCTCCATTGTCCACCTTTGCACGCCTTCATTCCAAACTGTCAACTCCCCGTTTTTCATGTTTGGGGCGGGCTTTTGAGTGTGCCCCTTTTGCTTTGCGGAGCCAAAACGAATGGTGGGCCATGGCGGGCCTGTGTAGTTGTACTCCTTGCAGCTGTCGCAGACCATGGTGAAGGGGAACATCATGCGGATGTTCATCATCTGCGGCCCTCTGGGCTTCAATGCCTCGCAGGGCTCTCGCAGCAGTCTCAGTAACTTCGCGTGAACGGCTTGAATCATCGAGACTGAAACTTCATGTGGGGCAAAACCGAGCGGACCTTTCCCCAAAGTTTCCTTATGAGCCTCTGAATCACGGAAGCCTCAAATGTCAGCTCTCCACAAACAAATCCGAAGGAAAACTGCATCCAATTGATATCAACCCTTCCCTTCAAGCCTTCTACCAAGGTTTGCCTTGCGGCTTCATGGGCAATGGGCTCAGCATGCCGTGTGGTGCAGAATTCCACAAACAAGAGATGTGTGGCTCCGCATAGTGACAACGGACCCGCGACAAGGCTCAAAACAAAGCTCTGGAACATGTCCAGAACAAGTTTGTCTGATTTTGGTTGATCGCAGCGTTGATGAACTGACAAACATGAAAACCCGAAACCAAAGTGTTGCTTTTTAGGGGACCTCCCCAAACAAAGTGGTCATCCCGTTGGCGTCCTTTAAAACCACTCCAAAAGGGATATCCTCAAAAAGACCAACCCAAGTGTCGAAGCTGTGGAGACGTCTGCGCGGGGCCTTCACCGGCATCAACTTGGAAGCATCGAAGTCGGGAGGGTAGTAGACACCCGCGGTAAATGTCCAGCCTGTGTGGAATCAGAGGCCCGAGCCTCCCCAAAGATGGTAAAAGATGGCAAGGGGACGGCCAATATGCCGAAATGGGGGAGTTGTGCCAACTTTTCCCAACTGTAACTCGCACAGAGAACATATTTGGGCTACACCAAAAGAACAGGAAGATAAAGGGTGGTAAGAAACAGCTCCAGCCAGGGTCTAGGTGCGGACATTCACCCCTTCAATGACTCTATCTGTAAGGGACACACGCACTCTACATATTTATAAATGCATATATATATATATATGTCTGTGAATATGTGTATATTCTAAACGGCGTACAGTATCGGCATTTTGGTTGAGCCCCGTGACCCTGAAACTCCAAGTGCTTTCCAGCAACACATGAGCAGCACTTGACCGTGACAGACATGCAAAAGCCTGAGTAGTTCAGCACCCTCTGGCAAAGAGAAATGCCACCCAAACACTCCCCAAACAACCCAGCAACTTGACAAAGCAACCATAACTTCCGCACATGGGTTGCATTCACCGCGAGGCCTACGAAGGCACTCTTCATGAACTTCGAGGACATGGTACCGTCCGCCATGGCTGCGAGAGGCTCTTTGCAGCTCCCGCGCCGCGCGCGGGGACTGCCCAAAAGGCTGGACGGGGCTGTACAGTTCTCGATCTGGAACACATGGCGGCAGAATGGAACACATGAACTCACGAACTCACGCGGGTGGTGTGTGAAGGGGTTTCATCACTCAACGGAACCAACCTGCTACAATCTGAAAACAATTTGGCGTTTCTGCCCGCCAACACAGCGCAATTCGGTTATATCCCTATTGAGCAACTGCTACAAACTACAACAGCAGCACCTGCCGCGAGGCAATCGGGTACTGTCCTGTCAACCTAGCTGAAGCGTCCATGAAGGGAACAACTGAGTAGGGTTGTAGTTACGCGTCTCAGGAGTTCTGGCCGACCCCTAAATGCCCCAGTCTGATAAAGCGGGTCAGGAATCAAGCGGTAAGCATTGTACATCTGCATCTATATTATATACATATATATATATAACAACTATATGCACATATATGTGTGTGTGTGCGCACTATGCATCTAAATGCCTACTCCATGCTTCGGCATGTGGATAAACCCTCAGCCTGGCTGCTTGGGTCCCTTTCGCCCTGTACAGCGCTTGGATGCCCCGCAGAAGCCAGCGGTTGCTGGAAATAACCCTGCCGTGATCCCCGAACTCATCTGCCTGTTCTCAGCGTGCACAGCACAAAGAGTAAACAATCCAAAGCAAGTATTCACAGAGCGTACCAAGTGCACCCAAAACCATGCAAAGAATCAAAAGAGCGCGCTTTCCACACCTATTTGGTTGTCTTTCTTACGGGTGGTTTTGCAGTTGGCGTCCTTCAAAACCACTCCAAAAGGGACCCCTCGAAAAATGATATACACTTGGCGTCTTTGGAACTGTCGCCATCTGAGGTTTGGTTCGACCGGACCCCGCTTCGCGGGGCTGAGCCGCGCACAGGACCACGTCCGGGCGCAGCTTCTCGTAGCTGCCGAGCCGCAACAAATGGCCGGCCACCTGGCGATTGGGGGGAAGGAGCCGAAGCGAACAAAAAAAATTGGACACAACATTGTACCCAAAAAACAAAAAGGCCGACCAAAACGGCTAACCAAAACACCAAAAGCTGTTGGTTGAGAAGAAAAGTACCCAAGTTAACAACAACTAGGTCCTCCAGTAGAGAGCTTAGAATAAGGGTACTCGAATTTTTTCTGTAGTCTATTTTAGTAGGGGAACCCTCCCAACCAAAAAAGGGGAGAGAAGGGCACTGCTGAGGGACCTAGACCAGGTGATTGAAGCCAACCAAAAAAGCAAAGGCCAAACAGAGCTGAGCTTCAAGCAAGTACATGGGGTATGTTCTGCAAAAGGAGTAATCTCATGCAGGTGGATGGTCTGTGTTTTCCCCGAGATTTCCCCGAGCAAAGTACGGCGTTTCCCGCGTTAAAACGTCAGGCTTCTGACGTCTGGTAGAGCTTGGCATTCCCGAAAGTCACTGAGACATAACTCAGGGCTAGGTCCTCCAGATTTGAAAGGTGACAATAAGGGTACCCTCTTTTCCGGAGTCTATTTTAGTAGGGGACGCCTCCCCCCAAGAAAGTGGGTAAAAGTTGGCACTACTGGGGGACCTAGAGGGGATTCCAGCCTCCCCAAGCCGCCCGGTGGACGCCAAAGCTCAAAGATCCGACTCGCCTGCCACCGGCCGCTGCGCTCGCAGGCGGCCACAGCTGCACTGCAGGCCACCAAGTTGGGCCCCAAGCGCCGTGCCTCGCTCCCCGGGCGTTTCATCGGTCGGAAAAGGGGTGGCACTTGTTCAAAACGAAGACCACCCCCTGAACTTTCACTTGGAGTCAAGAGGTTCCTTTGGAAGAGTCAAGAGGTGATTGATTTGCAGGTTGACATCAAGTTGTACCCCCTGTCAATCGGAGTTTCAACACTTGTACCCATTTAGTTTCCAAGGCCACAGCTGGGGAGAGCAAATGAAGCTCGAAGTGGCACTTGCGGCACATGAATTCATGTCAGGCCTGGCTGATGCATTATGATATGCCGTCAGCTTCCGTACACGCATTTGGGCAGGTTTCAAGGGAAACTAAAAGGAAAGCTAGCATTCGGGGTCCCCTATTTTGACACATATCCATTTCCATATTCCGTGAGAAGAGTTGACCGATGCTTTGTATCTGTTACACGTGTGATTCAGGGAGCTAAAGCCGCTAAGGCAGCTAAAGCCGGTGGCGAAGCTGGGGACCTCAGCAATAACATGTGCTCCAGGGGCCGTCTTTCTCGAAACCCCACCGACCACTGGGCGCCCTGCTCGCATCGACTTCAGCGTCTGCATGGCCTGTAGCCATTGGACACCTGATCCCAGCAACGTGGAATCTGCCGAAAACAACATTTCCTCAGGGCCAGTCCATGTTAGTGCAGGATGGTCTACCAAAGGTATGGGGAGCTGTCTCTAACTCAGGGCGCCTCCAAAACTGGTGGTTCCCCATTCCGCTTTTCTTGAACCACCAAAAAGTTCTCTCGAAAGACTGAAAAAGGACAACCACATCCGCAACAGCCAAGCAGCAAACTACCGGCTGCCTGTTGAACTTGCTGGTGCTGAATAGGGAATCAGGGCATGAACCTTGGGATCCTCTTGAAGAAAGCCACAGGGGGATGGCCCTTCTAGGGGTTGATTCCCGAAATGGAAGCTATTCCTGGATCCCTGCATCTCTCGCACCATCACATCTCCGAGGGCCCGTCTTTTGGCCATAGAGCTCATCACCGCGCTGTAGGTCACCACGTCGCCGGGACATCCCCTGAACAAAACTGCAAAAATGCGCCGCTGGGACAAGCCTTGGCCCTGATTTACCCCAAAATAGGTACCCTCGTAAAACAAGTTCCTTGCATCCACCCCCCCCCCCCCCCAAAAAAAAAAAAAGGGGAGAAGGAACCTTCAAAGCTTGTGAATCAGGGTGGTCCAACCCGGAAAAGCGCGCAACTCTGAAAGTGGCGGTGGGAAACGGACAGCCCTTGGCTCTGATTTACCCCAAAGTAGGTACTCTCGGAACAAGGCCCAGGCCCCCCCATCCCCAACATCAACCCTTCTGAAAGCCTTCCGCCTGCCTCTCCGAGCGATTCCGCTCGTTCCGCGAGTTTGGCGTTTGGCCCTTTGCCCCCGCCTCTGCCCCATAAAGCCCCAAAGCGCCAGCGCAGACCTGGGAATGGAGCATGACAGCTGACAGGTCTGTAATGTTAACCCCGGATTAAGCAGAACCCCTGGTTGATTTTGATTGATTGATAGGGAGGTGTCCCCCTTTCGTGGGGATTCATCACTTTTGGAGGGAACACCCCCCTAACAATGGGACGGGTTTATTAATCCTGGGTCAACACTAAGGAACATGGTATTCAGGGCCTGAAAGGTATTCCATTGGCTTTTCCCTTCAAGAGGAGTTTACTACGAACCTTATGGAGCGTTTAGGCGCCCGTCCCGATGCTCCACGTCACCAGCCGGCTTTTCTGGTTGGGAGGTTTGCAGGTTGCTGGTTTCCCTTTGACCCTCCACGAGAACCAGTGGTTCAAATCCCCAAACCAAAAATCCAAACCACCTACTAAGCGTTACCTGATCAAACGCGCTACTCCGAACACACACATTTATATATTGGTCAAGTCTGCGGCAGTTGTGGCGACTCGCTGAAGCCCTCCTTTCTTTTGTGGTCCAAATGGGCCTGTGCTTGGTGTCTCGAAACAAATGCAACTTGGCGATCCCCTTGTGAGTTTCTCTGATAGGAAGTTTGAGGTGCGTGGGTTCTTTATCATCTCGCATCCCACTGCGAACGGGCAGGTGTCTCGAGACCTCCGAGAAGAATGTTCCATGGCGAACAGTAAAAGGTGGTTTTGCACGGCTGCCTGGACACTGTGCCCCGACCTCCTCCTTGCAAAGGATCCAACCTGACAACTGAAGGTAGTGCGGCACCTGGGAAAAAAAGGAAACCTACAAAAAAAGGGAAGCCAGCAACCAACAAAAGACAAAAGAAAAAACACTCGCGCGCAAAAAGACAAAAGGGAGCCAATACTTTGCTTCGGACAAGTCAGCCCGCACTACAAGCCAACTGCTGCCCGCTGCCGCCTTCTGTTTGTTTGAGGTGCCACGAGATTGCCTGTGATTTGAAGAACCTGATTTGAGATTGTTTGAGGTGCCACATTTGATCTGATTTAAAGAACCTCATGTTTAGAAGGTGAAAGCCGCCATTCAGCCCAAAATAAAAATGGTTCAAACAGCAATTCAGCAAACCCGCACTCCCCCCCACCCCACCCCCCAAAAAAGCAAACACATGAAACAGAAAAACGCTTCTCTCCATCACAACAGCCCAAGTACCGTCCAACAAGCAGTGGAGCTTGGCACCCGGGTGCAAGGCGTCTCTTTCCTTTTCCTTTCAGCAGTTGGGCGGAAGGTTCGCCTTCCATGCGTCGTCCAGGCACAGCACCAGGCGCATGCCATCGAGAAGCGCAGGTTGCAAGTCATCGGGCACCTGTGCAACGCTGGGTTTCTTGGTTGATGTTGGAAGGGGAGCAAAAACTTTCAAAAAAAACAGCAGTTAAGTGGTTGGATTCCAACCACTAAACCACAATAAGCCAAAGTTTGGACTGGCAGTTTCAGTGGCAGGGGTGTCTTTTTTTGCCACCTTTTATGGCAAAATGATCGACCCCCTTGTTGTGAAGGATTCCTTCTTGAGGGGGTCGCCAATTTTCTGGACAAAGGTGGCAAAAAGACACCCCTGTTCATTGGAACCAGTAAACTTGAGAAAACCAGAGATCCCTGCCTGCCGCACCGGAAAGGTTCCGGAATGGAGTTTGGAGCCAGCTCATGTAACTCTTCAGGACGAGCTTGCTGCTTTCAAGTATATCAATGGCATATAAAGCTCCCTAAACTCCATACCTCCAAACTGCATGCTTGGTCTTTGTGCTTTGACTCCTGCGTTTTAGATGTTTGATCCCGTTTCCCGAAACATACAAAACAACACAGGCCTCCCTCAGACTTCGGACCCCAGTTGGAA